TTTCTTTAAAATAAAACTAAACAACTTGGGGTCCATCACAGAACAATGATATTATGGCATTCTGTGCCATAAATCATAGCTGCAGTAATGTTAGGCTAGTCAGAAAGAATTTTATTTATTTATTTATTTATTCATTTATTTATTTATAACTCATCTTTATTGTTGAATGTGTTACAGATTCCCCCCCTTCTCCCCAATCCCACCCCCCCTCCTGCCTTCCCCACACTATTGTCAGTGTCCACTGGGTATGCATATATGCATAGAAGTTTTTTGGTTTATCTCATCCCGCCCTCTCTCCCCTTCCCTTTGAGGTTCATCAGTCTAAAGACCAGTTTGTACTTCTTAATTCCTTCATCTTTTTCACCCATACCCCAAGCCCCCACCCATCTGGGAAGCAACAAAAAGTTCTCTGTATCTAGTTCTCTGTAAAACTTGTCTGTTTTTGTTCTGCTTGCTCATTTTGTTTATAGATTCAATTGTTGATAGATATATATTAATTGCCACTTTATTGTTCATATTTTTGTTCGTCTTCAAGAAGACCCTTCAACATTTCATATAATAACGGTTTGGTGGTGATGAACTCCTTTAGCTTTTTCTTGTCTGGGAAACTCTTGGTATGTCCATTGATTCTAAATGATAGCTTTGCAGGACAGAGTAATCTTCGTTGTAGGTTGTTGCTTTTCATCATCTTGAATATCACTTGCCACTCCTTTCTGGCCTGCAAAGTTTCTTTTGAGAAATCAGTTGACAGTCTTAATGGCAGCTCCTTTGTAGGTTACAAAATGCCTTTCTCTTGCTGCTTTTAAGATTCTCTCTTTGTATTTAACCTTTGGCATTTTGATGATGTGTCTTGGTGTGGACCTCTTTGGGTCCATCTTGTTTAGGACTCTCTGTGCTTCCTGGACTTGTATGTCTGTTTCCTTCACCAAGTTAAGGAATTTTTCTGTCATTATTATTTCAAATAGGTTTTCAATTTCTTGTTCTTTCTCTTCTCCTTCTGGCACCCCTATGATGTGAATGTTGTCACTCTTGAAGTTGTCCAGGAGGCACCTTACACTATCCTCCTTTTTTTGGATTCTTTTTTCTTTTTGCTGTTCTGATTGGGTGTTTTTTGCTTCCTTATATTCCAAATCGATGGTTTGCTTCTTGGTTTTACCTACTCTACTATTGAATCTGTGTAAATTATTCTTTATTTCAGTTAGTGCATCCTTCATTTCTGACTGGTCCTTTTTTATGTTGTTGATGTTCTCACTGAGTTAGTGCATCCTTCATTTCTGACTGGTCTTTTTTTATGTTGTTGATGTTCTCACTGAGTTCCTTGGAGTCCACTAAGTTCCTTGAATGTCTCACCAAGTTTTTTGACCAACTTTATAACCTGTGTTTTGAACTCTGCATCTGATTGTTTATCTCCATTTTGTTTAATTCTTTTCCTGGAGTTTTGTTGTTTTCTTTCATTTGGGACATGTTTCTTTGTCTCCTCATTTTGGCTACTTTCCTGTGATTGTTTCTATATATTAGGTAGAGTTGCTATGTCTCCTAGGCTTCATAGGGTGGTCTATTGTTGTAGGTGTCCTGTAGGATCCAGAGGTACAGCCTTCCTGATCACCCCAGCTGGGCCCTCGAGGTGCACCCCTAGTGTGGATTGTACATCTTTCTGTTGTAATTGAGTCTTGAAGTCAGTGGGAGGGATTTACTCAGGCTGATCAGCTGCAAGGACTGGCTGGGCCCACTGACCACTGGCCTCTGACTTCCTTGGAGGATCAGCGGTATAAGGGACCAACACAATGAGCAAGACTTAGTTCAGCAGGGCTCTGGTACCCTCTGAGTCCACTCCTTGAGTGTGTCACTCGTGGAGGTGGTTGGGTGGTGGTGTTTTGATGTGGTCTGAAGCTGTCCACTGGGTGTGCTGGCCCTGGAACTAGGTCAGCCACTGCCTGTGTTCTATCTGGGGCCACCCAGCATAAGCTACAAAGTGATCTGCCCACGGCTGCTGCTTGTGCTGGGCTTGGAGGTGCCCAGGAAACGCCATCTTGTGAAGCAAGGCAAGCTACTTCTAGTGCCAGGCCTGGGGCCACTTAACAAGAGGTATGGGGCTTGCTGAGACCAGATGCTGCTTGTTTGAGAGATTTTAGGAAATTCTAAAGCAGAATCCAAGACAGGCCAATCCTATGGTAAAGCCTTTGGAAACAGCTTGGGTGGGCCCGAAAGTTGGGTAGGGCAGGGCCTCAGGGAATCACCAAGGGTGGGGCAAACAGTGAGAGCCAGGTTGCTCGAGTCCCAGATATGGCTGCAGTCTGCTGCCCCAGGGAAGTGCTCACCAAAGCAATATCAGTCTCCACCAGCAGTCTGTCCAGGAGAAAACCGCCTCTCCAGCTCACATCCCGAGACCAAACAATTCAGTTCTTCCCTGTATGTCTCTAGAACCCCTCAAGCTGCCTCCCCTTGGAGCTTAGAGGGAGCAAGTCCCAGTAAGTCCGTGCTTGGGCCCTGGCCGGTTTGCTCAGCAGTTAGAACGTTTGCCCGTGGACCAGAGAGTCCTGGGTTCTGTTCCCACTAAGGGCATGTATATCCGTTGCAGTTTGTTCCTGGCCCCAGTTGGAGTTATGTGGGTGGCAACCAGTCAATGTGTCTCTCTCACATAGATGTTTCTCTCGCTCTCTTTTCCCTCTCTCCTTCCCGCTCTATCTGAAGGTAAATGCAAAAAATGTCCTCAGGTGAAGATAAAAAAAAAAAAAAACTGCCTGTCCTGCAGCCAAAGTCTCCCTCTGCCTCAGTTACCGCTGGTTTTTACAGCCAGAAGTTATGGGGACTTCTCTTCCTGGCACTGGAACCCTGAGCTGAACACCTGTTGTGGGACGGGGACCCCTCACTCCTTAGGGGGGACCTTCCTAGCCAAGGTGTCCTCCTGATTTTTATTTGCCACACATGTGTGTGGGACCAGCCAGTCTGCACCTCTGCCCCTTTTACCAAACTTGGTGTCGTGGCTATTTTAATTTCGTAGCTGTAGAACCTCCAGCTCGATTTCAGGCAGTTCTGAATGATGGTTGTATTGTAGTTTAGGTGTGATTTTTATGTGGTTGTGGGAGGAGATGATACTGTGATTACCTACGCCATCATCTTGACCAGAAGTCCCTCGAGACTTTCATTTTCTATTCCACATATTTCCCAAGCGGAGGGAGGAAGGAAGCAGCTCGTAGACAGAAATGGGGAGTACATCAACTGATCCCAAGAATTTTATTTCTTTAAGGAATATTTTTATTACATGTTAAAATTAAACATCTTAAATATTTGCTATTATAAATGAAATCTTGTTTTATTTTTAGTCACTGAAATTGGTATTGGGATGCATTTGATATTTTACTATATCTTTAATCCAAATTTATGAAACTAATTTTCTCTAGGAACTTTTTTGTCTTGAAATTTGCTATAGAGAGAGAACCCTCCCCCTTTATTGATTTTAGAGAGAAAGGAAGGGAGAGATAGGAGATAATTCCTTTTTTTTTTATCCTCACCTGAGGACATTTTTCTATTTTCTGTTCAGATAGAGTGGGAGGGAGAGAGAGAGAAACATCGACTTGAAAGGGACACGTCGAGTGGTTGCCACCCGCACAACCAAACAAGGGCCAGGGACAAACTGCAACCGAGGTACGTGCCCTTAGCAGGAACCGAACCTGGTTCTCTCTGGACCTCTGGACCGCAGGCCGACGCTCTAACCACTGAGCAAAACCGGCCAGGGCGATAATTACTCTTTTTAAGAAAAAAATTGTATTTTCTTATTTTTCCATATTTATAATTCAACTCTAGACCTGTTTGTCAGTATTTCTAGTTGTGACAAAAACGCACATAAAACTTTAGCTCATCTCTGTCTCAAATGAGTGAAGTGGTCCTTTGTGAATTATAGTAGTGGTTCTTGAATAAAGATGTTTTTTAATTGTGTTAAGAAATAAGTCATTAATGTACAGGGCCTTTTATTCTCGGTTATTTTTGAAAAGTAGATACTGTATGTAATGGAATGTCTTCTAGTCTTTTATTATAAATTTTATGACATTTTTGTTTAATGTAATGAATTATGTACATACTTTGTATTGCTTTACAAATCTTTTTAGAGGTAAGGACAACTGGATCCTTTTTTAAAGTACTTTCTTAATGTATTTTGTTTGCCAAGATTGTATTTAGGAATCTTCATCTCTATGATACAAGTTTATTTTCATTTTTGTTTTTGTTTTTTGTTTTTTTGTCTTTTAGTCACATTAGATTTAAGAGTTTTAAAATTCTGCATACTTGATGAGTAGATAATAAGCCATCCTTTTTGCTGTTTTAAAACATTTCATATAAAAGAAGTACTCTTTGAAAATTTGTAACAATTCTAAAATTAGTCTGACTAAGCCAAATAAAATACACGTTTAGCAAAATATAATATTAAATTCCTGAAAGCTATTGTAACATTTAATTTTATAGGTATCATTTTTTAAAGATAATTATAAGTAATTTGGGGGAAGGGGGTGCATTCCTGCCATGAAATTATAGCTTAAATTAGTCTCAGAACAGTCTGCAGCCTAGAGAAAATCCTTAACCTGCTTTTAAATTCTTTAAAATCCTTTAAGTCATCTACTTTTAGCTTTTAAAGTCTCTTATATATAAAAAATGCTATTAATTTCCAGACTCGAACCAAGAATTAAGTAGAGTTGTTAGGAAGATACCAAATTGTTACTTTCCTTTGGTAAGCATTAAGAAAGGAGTACTGCCCTGGCCGGTTTGGCTCAGCAGTTGGAGCATTGGCCTGCGGACGAGAGAGTCCTGGGTTCAGTTCCTGCTAGGGGCATGTACCAAAAAAAAAGGGGGGGGGTACTCTTATAGTAAAAAAATGAGATTTTGTCTTTTTTTTCTCTCAATTCCTCTCCTACTTCCCCCTACCCCAGTACACACGTTTCTTATTACATTTCTGAGATTAACCCTGTGAGATATATAGAGTTTGTGAATATCTGTTATATATTTTGCAGTTGACAAATTACAGTTTGAACCTCCTCTGAGAAAAGAAACGGAAGCACGGGATGAAATGGTAGGAATTATGACTTTAAAGTATTTTACACATTAAAATTTGAGAAAACTTATAGTGAGGTCGTGTACTCTGGCTGGGAAACAAAGCAATATACTCTACAGCGTTAATTTTGATAATATATTTCACACATTAAAATTTGAAATAATCTACAGTTGGGTATATTTTTTCTAGGGTAAAGTGTGTAATATGCCATTTTAACCATTTATTTTGACCCTTCTGAGACTTTTGAAGAACTTACATGAAGTTATTAAGTAGTGTATAAGGATTTTTTTGTTGTTGTTCAGATAGAGTGAGAGGGAGAGAGAGAGAGAAACATTGACGCGAGAGCGACACATCGAGTGGTTGCCACCCACATGACCCAACCAGGGCCAGGGACAAACTGCAACCAAGGCACGCGTCCCCAGCGGGAACCAAACCCGGGTCTCTCCGGACCGCAGGCCGACGCTCCAACCGCTGAGCCAAACCAGCCAGGGCGTGTATATGGATTTTGATGCTTAGCATCTTTTTTCTTCTTGATACTTTTTGGTTTGTAGCACATAGTTGCATTGCCTTACTATATTTAATAGTTATTTATTAATATCGGTTCTTTGTTGTTGTTGATCCTCACCCAAAGATATTTTTCCATGGATTTTTAGAGAGAGTGGGAAGGAGGGAGGGTGAGAGAGAAACATCAACGTATGAGAGACACATTGATGGGTTGCCTCCCGCACAACCCTGACCCAGGCTGGGGATCAAACCTGCTTTCCAGGTATGTGCCCTTGACTAGGAATCAAACCCTCCACCCTTTGGTCCAAGGGCCAACAATCTAACTGCTGAGCCAAACCAGCCAGGGCATTAGAGGTTCTTTTTAAACCACTGTGTTATTCTGCAATTACTATTTAGTTACCCCTTTCCTTATCTGAAAGGAAAGAAGAGATAGAACAAGATATTATTAGAGTCAGCCTAGATGCTATCTTAACCTACTTTATATTAGTAAAAGTATAGTTTCTAGAGTAATTCTCTTCTGTTAATGAATCTCTTCATCTTAACCTTTGGAAGTGGTGCTCTTCTTACTTTATACAAGATGTGGCAAAAGTAGATTTACAGTTGTGAGTACTTGAAACTGTTTATTTTTGTATTATTGTTTCTTAATTATTATTTTCCATATGAACAACTGTAAACCAACTTTTTCCCCATAAAATAAACTCAATGTCTATAATAGTAGGAAAAAAATAACACCAATAAATTAATGATAATATGATGTGTAGTTCTCCATGCTAATGGAGTAGTGATGCAGATAATTCAAAGTTAGGTTTGTCTGTTTTACTTTGGAATATATTAGCTTACTGGTAAAGAGGGTGTGTTACACTTGAAGCTATATATAATATGTTTATGGAATGTCTTAAATTTTAGTCAACTGATGAGTCATTGACCTAAATATGTCAAATGACAGCTAATCTAGCTGGAGATTAAAAAAATGAAAGCCATTAGCCATGGCTGGTTTGGCTCAGCAGTTAGAGCATCAGCCTGCGGTCCAGAGAGACCTGGGTTCGGTTCCCACTGGGGACACGTGCCTTGGTTGCAGTTTGTTCCCAGCCCTGGTTGGGTCATGCGAGTGGCAGCCACTCGTGTTCCTTTCACGTCAGTGTTTCTCTCTCTCTCTCACACTCTCTCTCTCTCTCCCTCTCTCCCTCTCTCCCTCACTCCCTCCCTCCCTCCTTCCCACGCTGTCAGAACAAAAAATGAAAAAATGTCGAGTGAGGATAAAAAAAAAATTGAAAGCCATTAACAATCATGACACTGAACATTTTTTTGAATCTTTAAATAAAATGATTAAGCCCTGGTTGGTTTGGCTCAGCGGTTAGAGTGTCAGTCTACAGTCCAGAGAGACCTGGGTTCAGTTCCCGCTAAGGGCACGTATCTCAGTTGCAGTTTGTCCCTGGCCCCAGCTGGGGTTGTGTGGGTGGCAGCCAGTCAATGTTACATCAATGTTTTTCTCTCTCTCTCTTCCTCCCTGTCTCCCTCTCACTCTATGAATGCAAAAAGTGTCCTCAGGTGAGGATTAAAAAATAAATAAATAAAATGATGAATATGTTTTAAGGTAATATTTTTAAGTCTATTTTTTTACCTTCACAGGGAGTATCGTCAGACACAAACTTTGTATTACAGTGGAATCCTTTTGTTGACGGTGCAAATACTGGAAAGTGAGTTGTTTCCTAATATAAAAACTTTGTTTTACTTGATTATATAAGAGCAATATGGGGAGCACTGTGATTTAACCTAGTAAGCTTTCATTTTCATTCTTTAAAAATTTGTGCTATGCTTATTGTAATTGTAAAGTTTGACTCTTATTTTTATTCCCAAAATGCATATGTATTGATCCTTAAGATTTTTGGGTTTTGTTCTTTAAATTAGAATATAGTATGTGTAATGTTAATATACGGAAAGATGAGCCACACTCTGTCATGGGAAAAAAATACTACAGTGGGTGTCAAAAAAATCTCAGTTTCATTTTTGCAGTATAGTTACTTCATATTCTAGACCTGTCTTCTCTTGCAGTTGACAGGGATAGCCTAGATGAATTGTTCCAAACCTGTTTGTGCATTGCAGTACCTACAAAGCTTTTTGGAAATACAGATTCCTGGGCCCCCACATTAGGCCTATGGATATAGGGTTGGTAAACTGGCTTATAATCCACATCTGACCCACTGCCTAATTTTTTGTACAGCCCACAAACTAGAGTGGTATAAACATAGTTTAATGATTGAAAAAGATAAAAGAACAGTGATATTTTGTTATACTTGGAAATTATGTGAAGTTTAAATTTCAGTGTCCATAGATGAACGTTTATTGGAACATAACCATGCTCATTAGTTTATATTTTATCTATAGCTGCTTTCACAATACAACAAAAGAGTCAAGTAGTTGTGACCACTGTATGGTTTGGAAAGCCTATAGTATTTACTATCTGGCCCTTTACAGAAAATGTTTACCAACTCCTTCTATAGAATATAGTCTTTGGGACTGGAATCTAAGAATCCTAAAAGGTCTCCAATTGATTGCAGTGACTGTGGATAAGTGTATAGAACCAATGGGTTAGATCAGTGATTCTCAATCTTTGATGTGCCTCGATGCTCACCTGGAGATCTTAAAATGCAGATTATGATTCAGTGGGTCTAGAAGGTGCATTTATAAAACTTTTCAGGTGATGCCAATGTTGCTGATCTGTGAACCCCACTTAGAGCAACAAAGGACTGGGTGATGTGGCCATTTGAACCTGTGATTCACTGTGGCTTCCAACTCTAAAATTCTGACTCTGTGTTTTACTAAGTTTATTTCAGTTTTTATTATATATTAAATGTTGCAGAGCGTAACCATACAATTAAAAAGCCTTTTATTCAGTGTATAAAAATCACTATATTATAGTTACACTATACAGTTTGACAGAATAAAGGTCTTAGGTTTTTCTGTAGATTTTTAAAGTACTGTGTACCATGCACATTTAATAGTGTATCACCATCTAAATTGCATTTTTCTTTTTGTATTATTAGATCAACCTCAAAACGAGCAATACCACCTCCACTTCCTCCTAAGGTGAGCTATTGATAGATTTTAAACAATAAATCCTTGTTTAAATAATAAAATAAAATTTTAAAATAATGTTACTGAATTTGTTCAAAACTCTTTTAAATATGTGTGTGTATTTTTTTTAATTCTCACCCAAGGCTATTTTTACATTTATCTTCAGACAGAGTGGGAGGGAGAGAGAGAGAGAAACATCGATGTGAGAGAGAGACATCGATTGGTTGCCACCTGCACGACCCCAACCGGGACTGAGGATGAACTGCAACTGCCATACGTGCCCTTGGCTGGAATCGAACCCGGGACTCTCTGGTCTGCAGGCCAATGCTCTAACTGCTGAGCCAAACCGGCCAGGGCTAACTACATTTTAGATACAGTTTTGTTTGAGAGGGGATTATGGAGATGTAAAAATATATTAAAGATTTTATAAGAATTGTAATATTTTAATAGCTATTAGAAAAAGGCAAAAATAGGTTAACACTCATTTGAGAAAATACGTGTTTGCATGGAGAGGTGATAAAGAGTTTATATTTACAATCCTGCTACATTACTGTAATTTGACATTTCAATAGAGTGATACTTTATTAAGTCATTTTCTTGCTTATTTGTAGGTATTAATATTTTATGATTTATTTACATAATTTTATTGGTTATAAAAATTTTATCAGTTTTAGGTTGCACCTGATTAAAAATCACATGGCAAATTTATGGCTTTGTTGGGACAGTAACTCAACTCTGCTTACTTTGCTTATTACTTAGCCTAGAGAATTGAATGAACTCTATAGAAGAAAAAAGTCATATCCTTCTCCCCCTAAAGTCTTTGATGCATAATGATAATGAAGTGTTACTGTTTTATATTCAGATTTATTAAAGTACTTTTGTGTCTTTTATCACTAGCCAAGGATAAACAGTTACCCTGAAGACAACCTCCTGGATGAAGAAAAATCATCAACTATAAAACGTTGCCCTGATCCAGAGAACAGAGCTCCCCAAGTTCTCAGAAGACAGAGTAGCCCAAGTTGTGTTCCTGTAGCTGAGACTTCCTCTATCGGTATGGCTTGCAGTATTAGCAGCTCTGGAGTACATACAGCTAGATACTGTGATCTGGGTAAATAAATGAAAGTGAAAAATGTAAAGAAGGCCATTTTGTTCATGTTTTAAAGAATGTCTTTTTTCTTTACTCAGTTTTATTCATGTTTAAATCTTTGTAAAATGTCTTTAAAATTCCACATGGGTGGGCTATAAATAGATTCAGTTCAATTCAACCCTAATTTGAACCCTTACTAAATATTGTAGGATCTAGAAAGATGAATGAATGTTCTGCCCTCCAGAAGTTCAGGGTCTGTAGCAGAAGTTATATCCATGTACACATAACATTAGACAAGACAGTTTGTATAAGTGTCTCCTGCAGTAATTAACTATATGTAATAGAGGACAAGAGATATTTGAGAGCAATAAGGATAGGGAAGAGAGAGGAGATGGGCTCTTGCAAAGTATTTCAGGGCTTGATGAGCCTTCAGTAAGTGGAGCCAGTGCTGACAGGCATTCTTGGAGAACAAGAAAGAATAAGTATGCTGAAGCAGGAAAATTTGAATGTGTTGGAAATACAGTCTAGTATGGTAAAAGTATGAGCTTATAAAGTGTATATACTGGGAAATAGGATAGATTGAAGTTCATTTATGAAAGGCCTTGAATATCAACATCAACAGGGCAGATTTCATTTTTCTCACAATATGAAAAGACATTTGTTGTTTTCATGCATTGAGACCACTGCTAAAGATGCAATGCTATCTCTGTAGAATCCAGAGAAAGTCATGAAAGATACTTTAACTCGTCTGACAGAGAATATTTCCTAATTAAGTATTACCCAATATGCTAAGTGAAATAAGTCAGAAAAAGACAAATATCTTTATTTCACTTACATGTGTAATCTAAAGAACAAAACAAATGAACAAACACAATAGAAACAGACTCATAGGTACCGAGAACAGACTGATGCTTGCCAGAGGGCAAGGGAGTTGGGAGGCTGAGTGAAAAAGGTGAAGGGATTGAGAAGTGCCGATTGGTAGTTACAAAATAGTCATGGGGATGTAAAGTATAGCCTAGCGAATATAGTCAGTAATACTGTAATAACTAAGTTTGGTGTCGGGGTACTTGAGATATGGGGGGGGGTCACTTTGTAAAGTATATAATTGTTTAACCACTATGCCGTCCACCTGAATGTAAACTGTAACTGAAAAATAAAATTTTAAAAAAAGATTACCCAAGTGGAAAAGTACTGGGGAAAAGGAAAAGTTGTTTTTCAAGGAAAGTACTTATTTGTATGGTTATTCAACTTTTAACCATGATTCTCTTTAGGAAATGGTGATGGTATTTCAAAACTGATTAGCGAAAATACAGAAGGATCAGCACAAGCACCACAGTTGCCACGAAAAAAGGACAAGCGAGATTTTCCTGTAGGTATAATAGGCACTTGGTTATTAGTTGTATCTAATGCTGTATTTGTCATATAAGAAGCATAGTCTGTTAAATTGAATAACTGAATTTCTAAATGTATAAATTTTTTTTAAGGTTTAAGAGGTCTTTCAGTATTAATAATTATTTTTCCCACAGAAACCAGTCATCAATGGCCTCCCACCCACCCCTAAAGTGCTGGTAAGGAATATTTTTATGGGACTCACCAATTTTTATCTCTTTAGCAGCAGCAGAAGATGCTTTATGTGCTATCAAGTATCTTGAGCCATTGATTGGAAAGGTTTATAAAATACAAAGGCATTAAATGCATTTGGATATAGAATATACCCTGATTTGAGTGGGTTGGATAGAATTTGGAGGGTTTAACTTTTTGTAAATACCAGCAATTAGGTTCTCAGATTAGCCTACAAAGGCCAGTTTAATTTTAATGGGATGATATTAATGGTACTGTGTCGTCTTCATTATATGGGCTAAATAGTTTTCTATATTTGAAGCCATTTCACACTGAACTATACACAATGAAAAGGAACAGGGAAGCTTCTGTTAACGCTTGTTCTTGGGCCCATCAGTAGAACCTATCTGTAAGGTGGTATAGCCAATCATATGAATAGGATGCTTTATAAGTTGTACTTTTTATTCAGTAGAAGTCTAACCTATAGTATAAATATTAGTCTTTTTGTCTGTTATCACTACCATTTTAACCATGATAGTGTTAATCAGTAAAATCATCTATTTCACATTATTAAACGTTAGTTCTAAAGATAAGCAAAGCTTAAAATTTCTAGAATATCATTGACATAAGTAGATATTTTGATAACTTTTATATTTGCGCCCTAAAATATGGATTATACAAGGAAAGAATATGAGGATCTGTTGGTAGAAGGGTTAAATTATATTGAAATTGAATTTGTTTTATAATGAAGCCATAAGTATATGTAAATAAAATCAGTTTAACATTTCATAATAATCGTAGCTATTTTCTAAGAATATATAAAATTATTTAATTAAGTAAATCAACATTTTTTTTCTTTAAATAAGATGGGAGCATGTTTTTCCAAAGTTTTTGATGGCTGCCCGTTGAAAATTAATTGTGCAACGTCTTGGATACATCCTGATACAAAAGGTAAAGTTTCTGAACTTTCATATATATCGCCAATAAAATATTTGTTATGGGAAAGAATCTTTATGATCAGTGAACTGAGGTTGTTTACTTTAAAAATATGACTTAGAGACGAATGGATAAAAAAGCTGTGGTACATATACACAATGGAGTACTATGCAGCGGTAAGAAAGAAAGATCTCTTATCCTTTGAGATGACATAGAGGGACCTGGAAAGTATTATCCTAAGTGAAAGAAGCCAAGCAGAAAAAGACAAATACCACATGATCTCACTTATATACGGAATATAATGAACATAACAGTCTGAGGAATACAGTAGACCCAGACACATGGAAGTAGGGCACAGACTGACATCCCTCAGAAGAGGCGATGGGGGGTGGGGGGGTGGGAGGAGATAAACCACAGAACTTATATGCATGTATGCATGACCAATGGACATGGACAACTAAGCCGGGGACAGGGTGGAGGGGGGTGTGGGGGGTGCCAATGGGGTAAAAAGGTAAAATATCTGTAACAAAAAAATAAATAAAAATTCATAAAAAAAAAAAAATATGACTTAGATACTAAATAGTGTAGGTATCTACAACAACCTAAGTAGATAATAAATAGGGTTTTGGTTTAAAGCATTAGAATATAAAATACAATTTAAGAGTACACAGAATCTGTACCTGATCAAAGGAGACCAAAGAGACATCACAACTGTGGGATTTTCTTTTATGTAAAACAACAGTATTGGGACAATTGATAATCTCAATAAATAAAGTCAATGGATTAGATAATAGCATCATTTCAGTGTTAATTTCCTGATTGTGATCATTGTGCTGTAGTTATATAAGTTTTTTTTTCTTTAAGAAATGCACACCAAAGTATTTAGGAGCAAAAGGGCATTGTGTTTGTAATTTATCTGATACAGAAAAACAAAAAAGTTCAGCAAAACAATGTTTGTATGGAGAGAGAGAAGGATAAAGCCAAAGTAGTAAATGTTAACAAATGTGGGATCTGTGTGAAGGATATTCAGGAATTCTTTATACTATTACAACTTTTCTGCAAGTGTGAAATAATGGCAAATAAAATTTATTTAAAAAAATTTACACTAACCCTGGCCGGTTTGGCTCAGCGGTTAGAATGTCGGCCTGCAGTCCAGAGAGACCTGGGTTCAGTTCCCGCTAAGGTCAAATACCTTGGTTGCAGTTTGTCCCCGGCCCTGGTTGGGTTGTGCAGTTCCACTCAATGTGTCCCTTTCACATCAATGTTTTTCTCTCTGTCTCTCTCTTCTTCTCTCTCCCTCCCACTCTATCTGAACAAAAATTGGAAAAATGTCCTTGGGTGAAGATAATAAAAAAAAAATTTAGACTATATTTTTAAAGTGAGAAAGCATAATACGTACAGGCAAAAATTTGAAATCAAACAGATCTGGGTTTGCATTGCTGCTCTGTCACTACTGTATAACTTGAGAAAGATACTTAACACCTTTGGTTCTCAATGTCATTTATAATAGAAAACTCTTTTAATTTTTTAAATTTTATTTTTGTTACAGATGTTTCTCCTTTTTTACCCCATTGGCACCCTCCTCCTCATCCCCCCCACCCCGTCCCCGGCTCTGTTGATCATGTCCATTAATTATGCCTACATGCATATACATTCTGTGGTTTATCTCTTCCCTCCCCCCACCACCTTGTCTTCTGAGGGTTGTCAGTCTGTACCCTACTTCCATGTCTCTGGGTCTACCCTATTCCTCAGACTGTTATGTTCATTATATTCCACAAATAAGTGAGATCATGTGGTATTTGTCTTTTACTGCTTGGCTTGTTTCACTTAGGATAATACTTTCCAGGTCCCTCCATGTCGTCTCAAAGGATAAGAGATCTTTCCTTCTTACAGCTGCATAGTACTCCATTCTGTATATGTACCACAGCTTTTTTATCCATTCGTCTACTGATGGACATTTGGGCTGTTTCCAGATCTTAGCTTTTGTAAATAGTGCTGCTATGAACATGGGGGTACACATATTCTTTCTGATTTGTGTTTCAGGCTTCTTAGGGTAGATTCCTAGAAATGGGATCACTGGGTCAAATGGCAGTTCAATTTTTAATTTTTTGAGGTAACACCATATTGTTTTACATAGTGGCTGCACCAGTCTGCATTCCCACCAGCAGTGTACTAGAGTCCCCTTTTCTCCACACCTTCACCAACACTTGTTGTTTGATGATTTGTTGATGGTGGCCATTCTGACAGGTGTGAGGTGATAACCTTATTGTTGTTTTAATTTGCATCTCTCTGATGATTAGTGATGTTGAGCATTTCTTCATGTGTCTCTTGGCCATTTGTATGTACTGTTTGGAGAGGTGTCTATTCAGCTCCTCTGCCCATTTTTTAATTGGGTTCTTTGTCCTCCTTTTGTTGAGTTGTATGAGTACTCTATATATTTTGGAAATTAACCCCTTATCTGATGTATCATTGGCAATGATGTTCTCCCATACAGTGAGTGGGTTGCCTTTCCATTTTGATGGTTGTATTTTTTTTGCTGTGCAGAAGCTTTCTAGTTTCATGTAGTCCCATGTGTTCATTTTTTTTCTTTGTTTCTGTTGCCTTAGGTGATGTATCAGTGAAAATTCTGCTGCGTATGATGTCCGAAATTTTGTTGCCTATATTTTCTTCTAGAATTTTTATGGATTCACGGATCACATTTAAGTCTTTTATCCATTTTGAGTTTATTTTTATGTATGATGGTCTAGTTTCATTTTTTTGCATGTAGTTTTCCAATTTTCCCAACACCATTTATTAAACAGGCTGTCTTTACCCCATTGTATGCTCTTGCCTCCTTTGTCAAATATTAGTTGAGCATAATGTCTTGGGTCCATTTCTGGGTTCTCTCTTCTGTTCCACTGGTCTATATGCCTGTTCTTGTGCCAGTACCAGGCTATTTTGATTACAGTCGCTTTGTAGTATAACCTGATATCTGGTATTGTGATCCCACCTACTTTCTCCTTCTTTTTGAAGATTGCTGTGGCTATTCGGGGTCTTTTTTGGTTCCATATGAACTTTTGAAGTATTTTTTCTAGTTCTGTGAAATATGTCGTTGGTATTTTGATGGGGATTGCATTGAACCTATAGATTGCTTTGGGTAATACGGACATTTTAATGATGTTAATTCTTCCAATCCATGAACAGGTTTGTGCTTCCACTTTTTTATATCTTCCTCTATTTCTTTTTTCAGTGTCCTGTAGTTTCCTGCAAATAGGTCCTTTACTTCTTTGGTTAAGTTTATTCGTAGGTATCTTAATTTTTTTGCCGCAATGGTAAATGGGATTGTTTTTTCAGTTTCTCTTTCTGTGAGTTCATCATTGGTGTATAAGAATGCTGTCAATTTCTTGACATTAATTTTGTATCCTGCTACTTTGCCAAATTCATTCATTAAGTCTAGTAGATTTTTGATGGAGTCTTTAGGGTTTTCTGTGTATAATATCATGTCATCTGCAAATAATGACAGTTTCAATTCCTCCTTTCCAATTTGGATCCCTTTTATTTTTCCTTCCTGTCTGATTGCTGTGGCTAAGAGTTCCAGTACTATAAGAGTGGCAAAAGTGGGCATCCCTGTCTTGTTTTTGTTCTTAAGGGAAATGCTTTTAGTTTCTGCCCATTAAGTATGATGTTGACTGTAGGTCTTTCATATATGGCCTTTATTATGTCGAGATATGATCCCTCTTCTCACATTGCTGAGCATTTTTATCAGAAATGGATGCTGGATTTTGTCGAATGCTTTTCAGCATCTATTGATATGATCATGTGGTTCTTATTATAACAAAAAACTCTTAATACCACTCACCTTGTTGCAAGGAAGCAAAGAGCTTACCTTGGTATCTGGCAATTAGGAAACAGAAGTTAGGCAGTAGAGGGTATTCAGGAAGTGTTTCCACTTCAATACAGTAATAAAGATAGGTCTTATATAATTATCTGCTTTAAATGCCACTATTACAAAGTATAACAGAAGGAAATATTTTTAACAGTAAGGAAATATATTTTGTTAATTTTTATTTAGATATAAATTTTTGAAAATATGTTTTTATCGATTTTTTTTTTTTAGAGAGAGAGGAAGGGAGAGAGAGATGGAAACATTGATGTAAGAGAAATGTCGTTTGGCTGCCTCCTGCATGCCCCCTATTGGGGATTGAGCCCACAACCCGGGCATGTGCCCTGACCAGGAATTGAACGGGGACCTCTCAGTCCATGGGACAGTGCTCAATCCACTGAGCCACACTAGCCGGGCATCATTTTGATGCAATTTTAAACTTACAGAAAGTTAGAAAAATAGCGCAAGAAACTCAGAATCATTTATTGTTTCAATTTTGCTACATTTGTTTTACTATACTCTATATGTGCATTTTTTCTCTTCTACATCACTTGAGAATGAATTGAAGACATTATGCTCCTCTTCCCCTAATACTTCAATTTGTATTTCCTAGGATCAAGAATCATCTCTTCCATAACCACAATACAATTGTAAAGATCAGGAAATTTGTCAGTAATATAATACTGTTTTTTAATAGTTTATTGATTTTGAGAGAGAAAGGGAGAAGGAGAGAAAGAGAGCAACATTGATGTGAGAGCACAACATCGATTGGCTGCCTCCTGCATGGCTCCTACCAGGGTTCCAGCCCACAACCCAGGTTAGTGCCCTTGAGTGTAAATCGAACCAGCAACCTCCTGGTGCATGGAATGACGCTCAACCAACTGAGCCACACCAGCGAGGGCAATATAATACTGTATTTTAATCCACAGACCATCTTTAAATTTTGTTATTTATCCCATAATATCTTTTATTATTTCTCCTCTCTTTTTTCCCCTAGTTCAAAATTCAAGGCCACATGTAACATTTAGCTACCATATCTCTTTAGTCTCTGTTAGTCTGGAATAGTTTATTAACCTTTCCATCTCTCTCTTGATCTTGACATTTTGAAGCTACTTATTTTGTAGAATATCCCTTAATTCATATCCCTAAGCATGATGAATCTTCATGCTTAGATCAGGTTATGCATTTTTGGCAAGAATATCACAGAATATTCTTGTAATATTAATATTGACCAGTTGTTTAAGGCAGTGTTCTCCAGCTTTCTGACTGTCAAGTTACTGTTTTTTTCTCTTTGTAATTAATAAGTAATTCATTAATTTCCCAAACTAATTGATAAATTATAAGTATGGAGATACATTAAAACTATATAAATACCCTCTTGCTCATCAGACTTTCACCAGTTAGTTTTAACATCCATTGGCGACAATCCATTGATGTCTGTTTACACAATAATTTCCTTCTTTCCCATTATTTGCTTAAGAATTATTTTTTTATTCAGTGAGATATGATCTATCACTCAATATTTATTTTAACACTTAAATTATAATTTTTGAGCAAGGGGAGCACCTATGTTCTTCTTCTTTTTAAAAAATCTTTATTGTTGAATGTAAAATGTATTACATATGTTCCACATTTTTCCACCATTGACCCCCTCCTCCCCCCACCCGCCCCCCTCCCGCCTTTTCCTACACTATTGTCTTTGACCATTGGTTATGCATATAAGTTCTTTGGTTTATTTCTTCCCACCCCCCCCCCAACCCCTTTCCCTTTGAGGTTTGTCAGTCTAGCAATGAATTTGTACTTCTTAATCTCTTCACCTTTTTCACCCATTCCCCCAACCCCACTTCCATCTGGCAACCAACAAAATGTTCTCTGTATCTATGAGAATGTTTCTGTTCTACCTGTTCATTTTGTTTGTAGATTCCATTGTTGACAGATATGTATTCATTGCCATTTTGTTTGTTCGTATATTTTATCTTTTTCTTCAAGAAGACCCTTCAACATTTCATATAATGGTTTGGTGGTGATGAACTCCTTTAGCTTTTCCTTGTCTGGGAAACTCTTTATATGGCCATCGATTCTAAATGACAGCTTTGCAGGATAGAGTAATCTGGGTTGTAGGTTCTTGCTTTTCATCACTCTGAATATTTCTTGCCACTCTCTTCTGGCCTGCAAAGTTTCTTTTGAGAAATCAGCTGACAGCCTTATGGGAACTCCATTGTAGGTAACTAGCTGCCTTTCTCTTGCTGCTTTTAAGATTCTCTCTTTGTCTTGAACCTTTTGCATTTTGATGATGATGTGTCTTGGTGTGGGCCTCTTGGGGTTCCTCTTGTTTGAGGCTCTCTGTGCTTCCTGGACTTGTATGTCTGTTTCCTTCACCAAGTTAGGAAAGTTTTCTGCCATTATTGTTTCAAACAGGTTTTCAATTTCTTGTTCTCGCTCTTCTCCTTCTGGCACCGCCAAGATGTGAATGTTGGCACGCTTGAAGTTGTCCCAGAGGCTCCATACACTATCCTCATTTTTTTGGATTCTTTTTTCTTTTTGCTGTTCTGATTGGGCATTTTTTGCTTCCTTATATTCCAAATCGATGGTTTGCTTCTTATATTTACGTACTCTACTATTGAATCTGTGTAAATTATTCTTTATTTCAGTTAATGCCTCCTTTAATTCTGACTGTGCATCCATAATTTCTGACTGGTCCTTTTTAATGCTCTTGAGGCCCTCACTAAGTTCATTGAGCATCCTTATAAGCAGTATTTTGAACTCAGCATCTGTTAGGTTGCTTATCTCCATTTCGCTTAGTTCTTTTCTTGGGGTTTTGTTCTGTTCTTTCATTTGGGACCTGTTTCTTTATCTCCTCATTTTGGCTGCCTCCCTGTGTTTGTTTCTGTGTATTACTTAATGAGAGGTATGGGGCTAGCTGAGACCAGATGCTGCTCCTTTTAAAGAATTTAGGAAAAACCTGAAGCAGGATCCAAGACAAGCCAATCCTATGGTTAAGCAAGTGGCAACAGCTTGGGTGGGCTTGAAAGTTGGGTGGGGCAGGGCCTCAGGGAGTCACCAGGGCGGGGCTACCAGTGTGAGCCAGGTTGCTGGAGTCCCAGATATGGTGGCTGTCTGCCGCCCCAGGGGAGGGCTCACCAAAGGAACAAAGGCCTCTGACAGCACGTTCATCCTGGAGAAAGCCCCCTCTCCAGCCCTTGCTCCAGTGCCAAACAGCTCAGTTCTTCCCTGTATGTCTCTGGCGCCCCTCGAGCTGCCTCCCCTCCAAACTTAGAGGGAGAGAGTCCGGTAATTCCGTGTGCGGGCCCTTTAAGGAGCTGCCTGGGTCTCCAGCCGCTTCAGCTTCCCTGAGCCTCAGTTCCCGCTGGTTTTTCCAGCCAGAAGTTATGAGGACTTCTCTTCCTGGCACTGGAACCCTGAGCGGGGCCCCTGGTGTGGGACAGGGATCCCTCAGTCCTTAGGAAGGACCTTCCCAGCCGAGGTATCCTCCTGATTTTTATCCGCCACACGTGGGTGTGGGACCAGCCAGTCTCGCCACCGGCCCTCCCGTCTCCGCCATTCCGCCCCTCCTACCAGTCTGGATGTGGCTGCTGCTTTAATTCCGTGGTTGTAGGACTTCCATTCAGCTTGATTTCAGGCGGTTTTGAATGATGGTTGTTTTGTAGTTTAGTTGTAACTTTGATGTGGTTGTGGGAGGACGCGATACCGCGTTTACCTACACCGCTATCTTTACCGGAAGTCAGCACCTATGTTCTTTTGTTTGATATCTCCTCATCACTTTTTGAGCACTTTCTTACTTTCTGGCACAGCAAGATTTCTAGACTAGAAATCTTGTACTTTTCTTGCCCCAGAATTAGAATCCGTCTTTCCTCCAAGAAGCCCAGTTGTTTTTGTTTTTTTGTAGTGGAAACTTATACTTAGAAATCAAGGTCTGTATACTGGGTGTACTCATAATTTCTGGGGTGTCATAATTTCTAATTTCTGTTTAATTTATAGTTTCCTTGTTCAAAGAGTATATGAGATATCAGGTAAAAAATATATACCTATAATAAAAATCTTAAGATATGAAAATTATTATATTGAAAGGAAGGATTATTAATAGTAAGATAAATCCAGGGTGAGAGTAAAAGATAATACATCTGCTTTTAAAAATAAGAAAAGAGTTGGGGAAAGAGTTAAGGAAGGTTGCATGGATTTAAAAAAATACTTTTTCTTTGGCTGGGTGGGTGACTGTCTATCTGTTAAAGAATAGAGTCATTACTTTAATGAGTGATTTCAGAAAATGATAGTAAATTGTGGTGGTTTTTCTCAACTGTATTAGATCAGTACATTATCTTTGGAACTGAAGATGGTATTTACACATTGAATCTCAATGAGCTGCATGAGGCAACGATGGAACAGGTAATTCAAGAGTTTTAATTCAAGAAAGTAATTTGGGCAAATTGAGTAAAAGAACTGTCTTAATTTTAAATCAATATATATGAGCCTCAGTTTTAATTTTTATGATTTAAATATTTAAAGAAGTGAAATTGTACATTTTACATGTTCATATTGAAAACTTTTTCTGTAAGGTTTTTTTGGTAATTATTGAAAAATAGAAAATAGTTATTTTTATACTATTTCAGACTGTTGGAATTTCAAGATTAAGAGGTAAAGAGATGAAAATTGGAGAGTTTTAATTATCTTCCTTTCTTTTTCTTTATAGTTATTTCCAAGAAAATGTACTTGGCTTTATGTTATCAATAATACTTTAATGTCTTTATCAGGTATGTATATGATGAACATATTGTGAAAAATAAATCATAGACAAGCAGAGAAAGATAATTTTAATATGCATTATTTTAAAATTGTATTTGTTATTCTGGGTAATTATAGTCTTAGTATAGTAACTTTAAGACTTGAACATATTTTTTACCAATTTAGCATGGGCAGAAACTTTGAGAAGGGACCCTGACTTCAGTTAAGTTAGCATTTCCAAAATCTGCCCAGGATCTCAGTACCTGAGGAATATCACAGTGATAGTCACCTGAGTCCATGTCCTTCCACTTATCTGCCTCCACTGTCACTATTATACCTGTCTTCCATTGAGAATGGAGATGATCTGGCTGCTTTCGTTCTTAAGCAAGTCTCTCTCGGCCTTAGTTTTCTTTTTTTTTTCTTTTTTTTATCTCATGATGCTATTTTATTTCAGAGGCCAGTTTTTTGTTTTTTGTTTTTCATTTATCTTTATTGTTGAAAGTATAACAGATGTTTCCTCGTTTCTCCCCCCTTGATACCGTCCTCCTCAACCCCTGGATATCATCTCATTGTCTCTGTTTTTAATTTAATCCTAATACTATTAACTATTAAAATAGCACCCACCCCTTTCTCTACTTTGAATAATTTAACAATTATAGTGTTTTTAAAATATTTTTTAATTCTTTTTGTTTAATACTCTGTCGTGCTCTGTATCTCAGTAAGTCATGTAAGGATTATATCTCTGCTCTATTTGCTGTACTGTCAGGCTTGTCAGTATTAAGTGTACCTTTCAGCAACTTATGCTTTAAAGCATCAGTGCTAATATACCTTCTTACATGTTGATAGTAGATCTATATGAATTGTAGCCTAATTTAAGAAATGTTATTTTTATAATTTTAAGTGTGTGTGTATAACTTTAACTCTTCCACTAACCATCACCTGATTAGAGATTCTTCACGAATTTATATATTTGAGCTAATGACAGTATTTACAAAGACATATTATTTCTGCACAAATGACTTCTAAGAAGCTGGATTCCTCAAAAGAGTATTTAATCGCTTTTATTTAAATTAATTTTATTTAACAAAGTATTTAGTGGTAGTAGTAGTAGTAGTATTACAAAAATAAACTTAAACCCAATTCTGTTAATGATTATGAATTATGTACATATAAGATCACTTTCCTCTAACACTTACTGCTTTTATATCTACTCATACCTCTCTCTGGAAATAAGCTTAAAAACCATACAGAGTACAACTTACATATTTATAAAATAACTATGGAAAATAGGGAAAAGTTAGCCTATAAATTGGTACTTTGCATACTCCAGTTAAAATGATTCATAAAACTGAATGAATTAATAGGAGAAAATATTGTTCTGCTTAAAGGTCTGCCTTTGTGTGGATGTGCACACATACATGCACTTCTGTGTTTAGCTGCGTAGCTAACTACATAGCTAGTTATGTGTATAGGGGTAATGGAGAGAGGAATGTTTGAAAAACATTGAGAATTTTGTTGAGGCTAAGACTGATGTGCGCATGCGCGCGCTCCCTCCCCCTCTCCACACACACACACACACACACAGGGTGGGGCAAAAGTAGATTTTCAGTTGTTAGTATGGAAAATAATACAATAATTAATAAATGCTGATACAAGAATAAACTGTTATGTACTCACAGCTGTAAACCTATTTTTGCCCCAGTGTGTGTGTGTGTATGTATAAATACACACACTAAATACTAAAATGATAAATACTGTTTTGTATTGTTATAGTACCATGCCATATATAACAAGGAATGAGAAGCTGTTTACCATATGCCCCCGTCCTTAACACAGCTATGGTTTTGATTATATGGAACTAATCCTATTATTTCCTATTATTTTCATGTAGTACTTGCTGTTATCTTTGTTTTATGGCATATAATATTAGTATGCTTTACTTTTTTTAGTATTTCAATCTGTTATAAAGATGTCATTCACAATCAGTTTTAATCCAAAATATATATATTTTTTTAATCCTTACCCAAGGATATTTTTTCATTCATCTTCAGAAAGAGTGGGAAGGGGTGCAGAGGGAAAGAGAGAGAAAGAGAAACATTGACATAAGAGAGACACATCGATTGGTTGCCTCCTAAACGACCCCAGCCAGGTCTGGGGACCAAACTGCAACTGAGGTACATGCCCTTGTCTGGAATCAAACCTGCGACTCTGGTCCAAGGGCCAGCATTCTAACCACTGAGCCAAACTGGCCAGGGCTGTTAATATTTATTATTTTTATTTTTTACTCTTCACCTAAGGATATTTTTCTACTTAATATCAGATAGAATGGGAGGGAGGAAGGGAGGGGGGGAGAGAGAGAGAGAGAGAGAGAGAGAGAGAGAGAGAGAGAGAGAGAGAAACATCGATGTGATAGTGCCACATCTACTGGTTGCCTCCCACACAACTCTGACCAGGGCTGGGGACAAACCACAACCCAGGTATGTGCCCTTGACTGGAATGGAACCTGTGATGACTCATTGGTCCTTGGGCTGACGCTCTAACTGCTGAGCCAAACCGGCCAGAGCTATTATTTATTTATTTTATTTTTTGTTAATCCTCTCCCAAGGATATTTTTCCATTGATTTTTAGAAAGAGTGGAAGAGAGAAAGGAAGAGAGAGAAACACTGATATGAGAGAGACACATCGACTGGTTGCCCTCCCACACAACTCGACCGGGGCTGGGAATTGAACCCAAGACCCTTCCATTCATGGGCCAATGCTCTAACTGCCGAGCCAAACTGGCCAGGGCCAATCCAAGGTATTTTGATAAATTATTAATAAATAGCTCTATCCCAAAAAATAATGTAATATAGTTTTATAGAATTTTCCATGGGTTTTTTTTTGTTGTTTTTTTTATCCTCACCCAAGGACATTTTTCCATTTTTTGTACAGACAGAGTGGGAGGGAGAGAGAGGAAGAGAGAGAGAGAGAAACATCGACATGAAAGGGACACATTGAGTGGCTGCCACCCGCACGACCAACCAGGGCCGGGGACAAACTGCAACCGAAGTACATGCCCTTAGCGGGAACCGAACCCGGGTCTCTCCGGACTGCAGGCTGATGCTCTAACCGCTGAGCCAAACCGGCCAGGGCTAGAATTTTCCATGTTATACTAAAATAATCACACATCATTGTAACTCAATCCATTGTACAGCAGTGTTGAACGATTACTCTTTCCATGCTGGCTTCATTAAGGTTTTTGTATATTCTACACAGATCACCTATTAGTCAGAATATACCTACTTTGTGTATTAAGAAACACAATTGTCTACTTTCTTAAAACTCATTTTACCTATTATCTTTCAAAATAGTATTAACTGGGTTTTTTATTTGTTTGTTTGTATGTGTTTTCCTATATTGCTTGGCTTTTTGAACATTTCTGGACTCCTCATTTTAGAAGGTAATTATGTTTTCTTTTGCTTGAAAATTATATTTTTTCTTCTGTAAATGATTCTAACAAAAATAACATGTTTTTTTTTTATAGGAAAAAGCTTTCAGCTCTATTCTCATAATCTTATAGCTTTGTTTGAACAAGCCAAAAAACCAGGATTAGCTGCTCATATTCAAACTCATAGGTTTCCAGACCGCATACTCCCAAGGTACAAAATATTTTGATTCTTCTGGAAGAGAAGGAAATTAGTGTTTATTTTTTAAATAACCATTATTCTTTGCCCACTAAAGAACTTTTTTTGTCTTAATGTTGAAAGGTAGTTTACACTAAAGTATATGTGATCTAAAATTTGAAAAATCACTGTTTCCATGAGAATCACCCTATATGAGTTTTTTAGTGCTTATTATTATTTTAATTTTTCAATTACAGTTTACTTTTAATATTATTTTTATATTGGTTTCAGGTATACAGCATACTGGTTAGACAGTCATATACTTTATAAAGTGTTTCCCCCGATATTGTCACTATCCACCTGGCACCATACATAGTTATGGCAATATTGTTGACTATATTTCCTAAGCTGTACTTTACAAACCCATGACTATTTTGTAACTAATAATTTGTACATCTTAATCTCTTCACCTCTTTTATTCAGTCTCCCAACCCCCGTTCCCTTCTGGTAACCACCAGTATGCTCTCTGTGTCTCTGAGTCTGTTTCTATAGACGTTTTATAATACAGATTCCCAGGCCCTGTCTCAGTCTTATAAAATCATACTTTGGGGTCAGAGTCCAAGTCAGTTTTATTTAAAGCTCCTTGATTGGTTCTCATGCAAACTGATTCACAGATCACTGTTTGGAAACCATTACAATAGAGGACATTTATATTGTCTTACGTTTTCAGAAAGTTTGCTTTAACTACAAAGATTCCTGATACAAAAGGCTGCCACAAATGTTGCATAGGTGAGTAAGTGCCATTCCTCAAACTGATGGTTAGAACTTTTAACATCTTTAAAGTTATCTGAAGAGATTTATAATAGCAAAGAGAAGGGAAGTTAGGCTTTATATTTGTTTGAATGAGGAATTAAGGGGTCACTGATGCACAAGAATGTACAGTGGGACATGGCATAAAAATGGAGATAATAGTCCTAATGCTTTCTCAGAGCATAGTGTTCCTAGAGTTTTCTAACGCTGGTCCCTGTTGCTATATCTCTACTTTTATTAATACTTTTATTTATTTAACAGCTACTGCTTAGTGCTTTATGAACATTATTATTGCTGGAGATGAGCCAACTATGAAGTCAGAGAAAACAGCCCCCCCACACACACACCTTCACTTCTGATTCTAATCACAAATTTGGGGGCTTCCCCAAATTACTGTCATGCTCAAAAATTCTCTAGGACTCACAGAACTCACTGAAAGTGGTTATACTCATGGTTATGGTTTATTACAGGGAAAGGATATGAATTAAAATCAGCTGAAGGAAGGAAGTATATAGGGCAGAGTCTAGGAAAAGCATTAAATGTAGAGCTTCTGTTCACCTTTCCCTATGGAGTTATGGACAGCATTACTTTCCTGGCAGTGATGTGTGACAATACACATAGAACATTGCCAACCAGGGAAGCTTACTCAAACCTCATTGTCCAGAGCTTTTATTAGGGCTCCATCACATAGGCATGATTGATTGTCATAAGGCTGATCTCATTGTCCAGCCCCTCTGGGGGTCAACTGATACTGTATGACTCAAAGTCCCTATCTTAAATCATGTCATTGGTCTTTCTAGGATGAGCAGTTTCCCCTAAACTCTCCAGTGTTGCCAGCCCCCACTCTAAATCATATTGTTAGACTATCCAGTAACCCATGGTCCCAGGCAAATAAAGAACAACAAAATGCAGACCTCTTTTGGGGGAAGGTTAAATTCTGTACTATATACTTATCTCACTTAACCCTAAAACCATCCTGTGATTCTTGTTATGTTACCAATTAAGTAACAGAACCTGGAATCATACCCAGTCCGTGACTTCAGATCCAGAGTTCCTGACTTCCTGTTTATTCTTGTTGTTTAATCAGTGAGCCTGGTTCCACAGCATACTTTCTAGTTGTAAGCAAATTTTGTGAGCATTTTTCTAGGGGCGATTCAGGTTTATATCTGTTATCAGATCTATGACTCAAGAAAGGTCTAGAAGCTTACAATCTAAGATATAAACTCATAAATATATTTAGAGCTTATTGCAAATAACTACTTTTATAATCATTATTGAAGGGAGTCAAATGGCAGAGAAGGAAAAACCAGTAAGTTTTTGTAGATTTGAGTCAAGGAAGTTACATCATTAGTAAGATGTAAAATAGTTATTTTCACAGCTATGAACTATACCAAAAATAAAACTATAGATTTCAGCTGCCTCCTAGACCTTCTTGTCTGAATTCTGTCTTTTGGTCAATTTACTTAAGAAGCAGCTCTTGCATACTAGTTTAGGTGTTTTAGTGCTTAAAATACTGTTCTTGTAAAAAGTTCCTATGCTCAAGGACACAGTCTATTAAAGATGTTGAGAAGTAAATGTATATAATTTTAAAATTAAATAAGAAAGTGAAAAAGAAAGCGAAACAAAGCCAAAAAAAAAAAAAAAGGACATCTTTACTTTCAACCCACTTTTATTATCCTAGTGAACAGGTACAATAATTTTCCTTTATCAGCTAAATAATTGCTTCAAATAGTTCTTCCTTCCATGGAAGACCACATTTCCTTGTTTGTTCCCCATGCATATTACCATTGCCTTTATAAAGAAAGATGAATTAGCTTTTAGGTGAGTCTAGTTAAACTAATTATTATTTTTTAATATTTTTATTTATTTTTTATTTGCAGTTCACATTCAATATTATTTTGTATTAGATTCAGGTGTATAGTTTAGTGGTTAGACATAGACAATTATGTTTTCATATAAAGGTATTCAGTATTTTAGATATGTCTGTTTTGCTTCTTTCCAGTCAGAAACCCTTACACAGGACATAAATACCTCTGTGGAGCTTTACAGTCTGGAATTGTTTTACTTCAGTGGTATGAGCCAATGCAGAAATTCATGTTGATAAAGGTATATATTACTTTGTTTACATTTTTCTTCTTCAGAAAACACTAGTCTGCAACTGAAGTTAAAATCTTAAGATTCCATTGCTACTATGTAGGGTTGGCATGTTTATAGTTATTTATATAGGTCTTTATTTGGTTTAGGGGTCTTTTGTTCTTATGATTTTTTCTTTAACTTATGTTAATAAACTTTCAGAGATATCACAGCCATAAAGATGAATGTGGCCAATTCTCTGAAATATATTTTATAGTTTTTTATTATCCTTATCATGATTATTTTTAGAATTACATCAATTAAGAAAATGAAAGCTTTTCCATTGAATTTATTCAGCAGCAGTATAAATAGAGATTGTTTCTAAATTATAGTTTTCTTGTTTATTTTTACAGCACTTTGATTTTCCTCTACCAAGTCCATTGAATGTTTTTGAAATGCTGGTAATACCAGAACAGGAATATCCTATGGTCTGTGTAGCTATTAGCAAGGGCACCGAATCAAATCAGGTAGTTCAGTTTGAGACAATCAATTTGAATTCTGCATCTTCATGGTTTACAGAAATTGGTGCTGGTAAGTGTTTTTTTTACCTCATGTTAAAATATTGATGATTTTGAATGTGAAAGAAGCAGAATGGTTTCAACAAATATGGGCTCAGTCAAATAAACCAACCCTCAGATCATAGTTTCCCAAGTAAGCCCAGAGGATCATATACTTACAGTTTATGATCTGTTTGCCTGAGGCAGTTTGATACAAATTATTTTACCAAGGAAAAAGTTTAATGGTTTAAGTTTTCTAAGATACAAAGGTGGGGAAAAGTAGGTTTACAGTTGTGAATATGTAAAACAGTGTTTATTCTTGTATATTATTTATTAATTTGTATTTTTTCATACGAACAACTGTAAACGTGCTTTTGCCAAAAGTTTATCAGTTTCTCAAGCAAAGAGATTTACTTTTTTTTTTTCCCTATCAGTTTTTCCCTCAACACTTCTTAGAATCATTGAGTTCAAGTGTTTTTCGTGTGTGGCCTCCAAACTTGACCATTTAAAGATACAGGGACATATCTCTTGCATTTGTTCATTAGCTTAGGATTTTATCTAACATGTCTTGGTTGAAAGTTCAGAAAAGGTTGGGAAGTTTATATTAAAACTTTAAAATTGGAACAAATCAATCGATTTGTTCTTGAAATCTACATAGTAAGTGAAATGAAGGGGGTCTTCATTTTGCCCATTTACTGTTTGTTGCGCTAGTGTATGATTTGATCGTTTGTAACCCCAGGTTTATGAAGGCATTTTTACATAAGTAAAGCAAGCTTTAGTTATAGCTGTTTCATTACTGACTCATCTTGTAAAGAAGTTCGTTATAAATATCTAAGTTTGATGTTTCTTATTAAATATCTTCAGCTTATGATTATTTATAGGCTGAAGTACAAGAACTGTGTATACAATTCAGCTATTGAAGTTAATGTGGAACCACTAATGTCACTTTCAGCATAAGAATCAGTGTGAACTAGTGGTATATACTGGTAAAATTTAACAACAGGCTCTTGGGATGCAGAGAATCCTGATTTGTAGCAGTTGCCTATTTTTTTTTTTCCCCTTTATTGACTTTAGAGAGAGAGAGAGGAAGTGAGAGGGAGAGAGAGATAGAAATATCAATGAGAGTTAACATTGACTGGCCGCCTCCTGCATGCCCCCTACTGGAGATTGGACCCACAACCTGGGCATGTGTCTTGACTGGGAATCGAACCGGCAACCTCTTGGTGCATGGGTCAGCACTCAACCACTGAGCCACACTAGCCGGAATAGCAGTTACCTATTTCTGTGGTATAAGTCCACCATGGCCAGTTTCAAACTACCAACCTGATGTCATCTGGCTCACAAAATTTCTGAAAATTGAACAACCCAGTATAAGCTAGTTACAGCATGCACTGGACTTTATCAGTCTCTTTATGGACCAAGTCATAATTTCCAGTGGAATAAAATAGGAATGTATTCTATACCCTCCCACCTTCACCTGTACCCCACATTTCTTTTGAATTTATATTTAATATATTTGGTTGAGTTAGATGCATACCCTCCTAGCATAGCTAACAGAAAGGTACAAATGACATTGTGTTAGTATCATGAAATATAAGCAGCCCAAATAGAAATATATTCCTATTATGTAGTTACTGCCAAAAAGAAGGCTTATATATAGATCAGTTTATTTAAAAACCAAAATTATTTTTTGGCAGGTAGCCCCAACTTGTTTTTATTGGTTAGTATGTAATAGTAATATAGAGCAAGTCATTTTATACAGTTATCTAATATGTGCATACAACTTTCTTCTCTATGATATATTAGGTTACATTGCTCAAGACTAGAAATTGAATCCTTTTTTTTTAATTGATTTTTAGAGAGAGAGAGAAACATCAATGTGAGAGTGATACATTGATCGGCTGCCTCCTGTATACCCCCTACTGGGGATTGAACCTGCAACCCCGGGCATGTGTGCTGACCAGGAATCGAACCCTCAACCTTTCAGTGCATGGGACGATGCCCAACCATCTTAGCCACACCAGCCTGGACCCTTGTGTTTTTTTTTTTTTTTTTTTTTTTTTTTTTTTAATCCTCACCCGAGGACATTTTTCCATTTTTTGCACAGACAGAGTGGGAGGGAGAGAGAGGAAGAGAGAGAGAGGGAAACATCGACGTGAAAGGGACACATCGAGTGGCTGCCACCCGCACGACCAATCAGGGCCGGGGACAAACTGCAACCGAGGTACATGCCCTTAGCGGGAACCGAACCCGGGTCTCTCCGGACCGCAGGCGGACGCTCTAACCTCTGAGCCAAACCAGCCAGGGCTTGTTTTGTTTTTAAAGGAGGAAAAGAGATAGAGAAACATCAATGTGAGAGAGACATATCGATTGGCTGCCACCCACATGACCCCAACTGGGGCTGGGGACAAACTGCAACCGAGGTACGTGCCCCTAGCGGAAACTGAACCCGGGACTCTCAGGTCTGTGGGCCGATGCTCTAACCGCTGAGCCAAACAGGCCAGGGCCCCTCGTGTTTTTTGAACCAAAATTACTTCCTGAGGAGAGCCAAGACTTTGAGAGTAATCATCCAGTCACCCTCAAGTGGAGGTTGTCCTTACTAAGCTTCTTCATTTTCACAAATGTTTGTTAATCCATCTCCCATCTACTCTAATTGTTGAGCACCTCCACTGCCTTGAGTGGGCAACAGTTGTAACAGTTAAAATGAACTTCTGTTCCAAGCATATTGTCAGCACTCCATAAATATTTGTTGAATAAATGCATAAACATAGATTACTGAGAAAAACTATTTTTGGAATGTTTCCCAAGGGACCAGCAGTTTATCAGTTCTGTCAACCTGAATTCTCCTCTACATATGAGCTTTAGAAGGTCTGAAAACACCCCAAAAATAATATATAAAACTTAGTGTTTACATTTAGATGTGCAGTTTTTAAAGGAGATAGTTCCATGGGCTTCCCAAAGGAATGCAGTTAAGAATGACTGCTCTAAACTTAGATTTAGCTAGACCATTCAGGCATTCTGAGTGCCTAAAATGAATTGTCTTACCGAAAATGTTTTACAAAAATGCTCACACACACCAAAATGCTGTCACCTCTATCAGCAGATGTTAAAAGCAGCAGCCCTGCGAATGTCAGCAAAGTGATGAAAATTGCATCCTGCAAAGATATTGTTGACAGAATTGTTCATTATATTACTCAGTGTCCTCTTCAAAAAGGAACTCTCACACACACACCCACAGTAGGAAAATGTCTGATTATACTTTTAATTTTTTTTTTTTTTTTTTTTGCTTTTTCTGAATTACTGGCTGGTTTTTATCTCAGCGATGCTGTGTGATTCACCTTAACTGATCTTGTTTCCATCTTCCCATTAGTTACTATAAAATGCAGAGCAAAACCTAGTCATTGTATAGCATGCACCTTACTTTCTTATCTGTATTACCCTTTGCTTCATTTTATTTTTGTAACTTATCTTTCTAGAACTAGCTGAGGTGTTAATTAACTGTTATATCGAGCTTTTCTCAACTCACTTAGCCATGCTTAGGACTTAAATTTTGTTCTCCTAAGTTGACCTACATATATATTTTTTTGCAGTTATCTTCAGATAGAGTGGGAGGGAGAGATGGGGAAGCAAGAGAGAGCAATATTGATGTGACAGAGACACATCGAGTGGTTGCCACCCACACGACCCCAACTGGGGCCGGGGACAAACTGCAACTGAGGTACGTGCCCCCAGCAGGAACCGAATCTGGGACTCTCTGGTCCACAGGCTGATTGATGCTCTAACTGCTGAGCCAAACCGGCCAGGGCGACCTACATACATTTTTAAAGAAAATAACATATACCCTGGCTGATATGGCTCAGTGGTTAGAGCGTCGGCCCTAGAACCAAAGGGTCATGGCTTCAATTCCTGGTTAAGGGAAGGTACCTGGGTTGCAGTTCTATCCCTGGCCCCAGCCAGGGTCGTGCGGGAGGCAACCAATTGATGTGTCTCTCTCACATCAATATTTCTCTCTCTCTTTCTCCTTCCCTCCCTTCTACTCTCTCAAAAAATCAATGGAAAAAATATCCTTGGGTGAGAATTAACAAAAAAATAAAGAACATATCATTACAAAACAATTTGTGTTACATTTCCAAGACTAGTTTTAAGTCACAGAAAAAGTCAGAATTTGTGTTCTTTTCTACGCTCTAGTTTTTACAGTATGTTGTATAACTGTAACATTGTTTTTTTCCCTCCAAGGCAGCCAACAGTTAGATTCCATTCATGTAACACAGTTGGAAAGAGATACCGTCTTAGTGTGTTTAGATAGTAAGTATTATTTTAAAGTTTACTCTGAGTATACTACTTGATATAACAAATCATTTCATGAAAGTGATTCTATTAAACTATAATCAAGATTTTCACTTTTTTCAACTTAAATGACCTTGTTCTATTGATACAAAACCTAAATTGGCTACAGATATGGTAAACAGTAATTAATTGATCTGTTTGTCGTTACTATTCATTGACTTTTTTCTTTGTTTGGCATACTTGGAAACAGAACAGTTTGCCATAACTTTGGGGTAAAATTCTATATAAAACTAATCTATAAAATTCTTTGTAAAACTATTCTGAGAGTGTTTTTCATACCTTATAATTAATGAAAAAATAGAAAGTATATAGTCATGTGCCACTTAACGGGGATACTCATTTCTAAGAAATGCATTGTTAGGTGATTTTTTTTGTTATTGTGGGAATATCGTAAGAGTGCACTTACACAAACCTAGATGATATAGCCTCCTACAATACCTAGGTTATATAGTATAGCCAGCCTACTGCTCCTAGGCTACAAACCTGTACAGTGTGTACTGTACAGCATGAGATTAAATCAAGCACAAGAGAAAATTATGTAATCAACAGACTCTGTAAACTTTAGATATATGTGGCTGCTGCCAGCATAACACAGTGTACTGTTTTACAGAAAATGTTTTTTTCTGTAAGTAGAAAGCTTACACTAAAATAACAGTAAAAAGTATAGAACAGTAAATATATAAACCAGTAACATAGCCATTTATTATCATTATCAAGCATTATGTACTGTACATAATTGTATGTGCTACACTGTTATATGACTGGCAGTGCAATAGGTTTATTTGCAATACCATCACCACAAACATGTGAGTAATGAATGTGTTGTACTACAATGGCTGCATCTCTAGGAAATGGAAAATTTTAAGCTCCGTTATAATCTTATAAAACCACCATCATATATGTGCATAACTATGGTCACTTATAGTCATGTAACATGACTTGGAGTTGTGTCAGTGAGATTTTAATAAACAGATAGATTTGACATCTTCATCTCCTAGTTGTGATTCTTTTGATGTAAGAGTTATTGATAGAAATGTAATCAGAGAAACAGAAAAACTTTTAACAACAGGTATTTAGTATTGCAGACAAACCCACCTTATTTTTATGTGGTAAATCCTGCAAGGTGAAATTCACCTAGACTTGGAAATATATTTGAAACTTGGTATATTTGCTATATTTGATCCATTTCATTATTATTTAAATTACTGAATCTGCCCATGGGTGTTCAGGGTTATTTTTTAAATTTTTGTACTGCAGAATTTGCCAATGTTTCTGTCCTAATTTCTATTCTCTGAAGAGTTCCCTTGTGGATTTACCTTATAGATTCATAAAGATCGCCTGATATTAGAGATAAATAACCCAAAACTCAAAGTGTTTCATTCACCCATCATTTCTTTTTTAAGTACTTTTCATTCTTTGAATACTGATAAGATTGGAGTATTATTCAATTTCCTTTAAGTCTATTTGATAAATTTTTTTTACCTAAACAAGTAGAGAGTTCTGTATTAATTAACCATTCTGATTAGAATGTAATTATAATAATATTGAACCTTTAATGTTAAATCTCTAATACCTTGTGAGACATCCAAGGAACATAAGTTATGCTTAGTTTCATTTTGTTGATTTATGTATTTAAAAATAATTTTTTTAAACCTTTGATTAAGCCTTCCATTTTCCAGTTATTCAAGGTAAATGGAATGTTGACTTTCTTGAGATTTTTTTTTTTAAGGAGCAGTGTAAGGCTTCAAAAATTAAGTATCAGCTATGCAGTATAAATCCGTTTTAGTAAGCACCAGTGGAGATAGGCCTGAAATCACAAATCATGTTAGGCAGATAAGAATGCAATACCGAGAAAGGTGTCTTCCAAGTAGAGCTGAGATGGTTAAAAATTAAAAAACTATAGATGAAAGTGAAATAAAATTATGTATAGTGCCCACCACATAGTTTTCTTATAAAGAAATTGTGACCCTCGAGAATACTACTTGTAGCCCCTTTGTTACAGTAGTGCTGGGTACTAAAATAATGACTACAGATATACTTATCATATATTTTGTAATTTGTAAGGGGCAAAAAATCAATTCTTATTTCTAAATACATAGGCATCAAGGCAGCCACTTTAAAAGAAACATTGTACTTTTTTAAAAAATGAGAGTATAAGTGTTCAATATATATATACCATCTAAAGAAAAAGTAGTGGAATTTTCATTTACCAAAGGAGGTACTCTTATAGTTACATTATAAAACATATTAATGACAATTTTTCAGTGGGCATGCTTGAATCAAGAAAAATAGTTGAACCTCATTAAAAATATTGTTCTGTATCCATGTAAAATCCACATATCAAGTTAAGTTTATTTTAACAGATTTGGATTTTCAGTCTTGTTTTTTCTTTTTTAAAGAATTTGTAAAAATTGTAAATCTACAAGGAAAACTAAAATCAAGTAAGAAACTGGCCTCTGAGTTAACTTTTGATTTTCGCATTGAATCTGTAGGTAAGTCTTTTTCTTTTTTTTTTTAAATAATGCTATTAGAATACTTGGGTTTTTTTCCTTCAATCTGTTTCTAGGGTTGTCTAGACCAGCACTGTTTCATAGAAGTTTCTGTGATACAGAAATGTTCTCTGTGCTCTTAAATGTAGTATAGTCATTAACCATACCTGTTGAGTACTTGAAACACAGCTAGTGCCACATTTTAATTTTTTAATTAATTCGTTTTAATTTTAATTAATTTAAATTTTAATGTAAATAGTCACATATGGCTGATAGCTATTGTACTGAACGATGTGGGTATAAACGATAATAAATAATGTTGGTTTTTTTCCTAAATATTTAAAACTTGAAATCATTTTTTAATTTTTGTTTGTTCCCTTTACATCAAGTGAATTATACTTCTCCCAATTCTTTCCAAATCATGAAGGTATTTGTGTGATATGATTAATGGTATTAGATATGCTGTAATTCTTTGTCGTGTAAGATTCTGCTTGGTGTGTGCTGTTAGTCCTTTTAGGTGTATTTTCTATATAAATAACTACTTCCCCACAGGACTTGGAAACTAATATGCCATTTTAATTTGCTTCCTTGTCAGTGAGTGTTGATTATATGTCAGTAAATATTTTCCCCAGGGATGATAGAATTTATGAAAAAAAAATACTGTGGCTGGAAACACTGAACAATTTATGATATAATTCTACCATAAGTCAAAAATAGTTAAAACAAAGTTGGCAATTTTCATTTGGGCCTTGAAAAACATATGTATTTTATAGTTACATGTATATATACTTTTAAAAATGTGTTTCTCATTATTTAAAAAGGTTTTTTAAAAAAGAATATGTTAATGGTTTCTTAACTGGAGTTTTGCCATGTCGCAAAGTATGTTCATCCCTCTGTGTAAATATCTTACATAAGTATAATTTGCTTATGATTGAAAAATCTAATCTATTGAAGCAGAAAGCCTAAACTTTCTGTAGATATCAGGACAAAAGAAATCTTGGAACTAGTTTCTTCCTTTACTTCTTTATGTCCTGGATATTGCATGCCAGTTTCTAAGAGTTAGTGTTTTCAGTAGAGATCCTGACAGGATCTTCATGTTATCTGAAACACACTGGTACCTCATCTTTTTTATATGTGCTAAATTTTTTTTTAATCCTCACCTGAGGGCATTTTTCCATTTTTTTGTTCAGATAGAGTGGGAGGGAGAAAGAGGAAAAGAGAGAAAGAAAGAGAAACATAGACGTGAAAGGGACACGTCGAGTGGCTGCCTCCTGCACGACCCAACCAGGGCTGGGAACAAACTGCATCCGAGATACGTGCCCTTAGTGGGAACCAAACCCGGGTCTCTCTGGACCGCAGGTCAACACTCTAACTGCTGAGCCAAACCAGCCAGGGCTATGTGCCAAATTTTTTAGGGAACTTTAATTGTTACAAAAAAGTTTGTTCCTCATAGGCTACCATCTCTCCCTGCTAGTGAACCTTAGGATAATTTCAGGGGTCCTCCTGGGTAAAAACAGTCCCTTTAAATCTTTTTTAAAATAAGCCAGTAACTGGGTTTCATATTCATTACAACTTGTGTGATTTGTAATTGTAAAATAGTTGTATTTTTATTGAGCACAATTATGTTTCCAAGACATTCTTTTTTTTTTTTTTGAATTGTCAACATTCATGTTTTATTTTTATTATTATTTTTTTTAAATCTTTATTGTTGGATGTAAAATGTATTACAGATGTTTCACATTTTTCCCCCATTGACCCCCTCCTCCCCACTCCCGCCCCCCTCCCACCTTTTTCCACACTATTGTCTGTGTCCATTGGTTATGTATATAAGTTCTTTGGTTTATTTCTTCCCACCCCACCAACCCCTTTCCCTTTGAGGTTTGTCAGTCTAGCAATGAATTTGTGCTTTTTAATCCCTTCACCTTTTTCACCCATTCCCCCAACCCCCTTCCCAACTGGCAACCAACAAAATGTTCTCTATATCTATGAGAATGTTTTTGTTCTTCCTGTTCATTTTGTTTGTAGATTCCATTGTTGGTAGATATGTATTCATTGCCATTTTGTTTGTTCATACATTTTATCTTTTTCTTCAAAAAGACCCTTCATCATTTCATATAATAACGGTTTGGTAGTGATGAACTCCTTTAACTTTTTCTTGTCTAAGAAAGTTTTTATATGTCCATCGATTCTAAATGACAGCTTTGCAGGATAGAGTAATCTTGGTTGTAGGTTCTTGCTTTTCATCACTCTGAATATTTCTTGCCACTCCCTTCTGGCCTGCAAAGTTTCTTTTGAGAAATCAGCTGACAGCCTAATGGGAACTCCCTTGTAGGTAACTAGCTGCCTTTCTCTTGCTGCTTTTAAGATTCTGTCTTTGTCTTGAACCTTTTGCATTTTGATGATGATGTGTCTTGGTGTGGGCCTCTTGGGGTTCATCTTGTTTGAGGCTCTCTGTGCTTCCTGGACTTGTATGTCTGTTTCCTTCACCAAGTTAGGAAAGTTTTCTGCCATTATTGTTTCAAACAGGTTTTCGATTTCTTGTTCTCTCTCTTCTCCTTCCAGCACCCCCAAGATGTGAATGTTGGCACGCTTGAAGTTGTCCCAGAGGCTCCTTACACTATCCTCATTTTTTTTGGATTCTTTTTTCTTTTTGCTGTTCTGATTGGGCATTTTTTGCTTCCTTATATTCCAAATCGATGGTTTGCTCCTTGGATTTACATACTCTATTATTGAAGCTGTGTAAATTCTTTATTTCAGTTAATGCCTCCTTCAATTCTAACTGTGTATCCATGATTTCTAACTGGTCCTTTTTTATGCTCTTGAGGCCCTCCTTAAGTTCACTGAGGTTCTCACTAAGTTCATTGAGCATCCTTATAAGCAGTATTTTGAACTCAGTATCTGTTAGATTGCTTATCTCCCTTTCGCTTAGTTCTTTTATTGGGGTTTTGTTCTGTTCTTTCATTTGGGACCTGTTTCTTTGTCTCCTCATTTTGGCTGCCTCCCTCTGTTTGTTTCTGTGTATTACTTAATGAGAGGTATGGGGCTAGCTGAGACCAGATGCTGCTCGTTTGAAAGAATTTAGGGAAAACCTGAAGCAGGATCCAAGACCTGCCAATCCTATGGTTAAGCAAGTGGCAACAGCTTGGGTGGGCTTGAAAGTTGTGTGGGGCGGGGCGGGGCGGGGCGGGGCCTCCGGGAGTCAGCGGGGCGGGACCTCTGGGAGTCACCAGGGCGGGGCTACCAGTGTGAGCCAGGTTGCTGGAGTCCCAGATAGGCTTCTGTCTGCCGCCCCGGGAAGGGCTCACCAAAGGAAGAAAGGCCTCTTACAGCACGTTTGTCCCTGAGAAAGCCCCCTCTCCAGCCCTCGCTCCAGTGCCAAACAGCTCAGTTCTTCCCTGTATGTCTCTGGTGCCCCTCAAGCTGCCTCCCCTCCAAACTTAGAGGGAGAGTGTCCGATAAGTCCGTGCGCGAGCCTTTTAGGGAGCTGCCTGGGGCTCCAGCCGCTTCAGCTTCCCTGAGCCTCAGTTTCCGCTGGTTTTTCCAGCCAGAAGTTATGGGGATTTTTCTTCCTGGCACTGGAACCCTGAGCGGGACACCTGGTGTGGGACGGGGACCCCTCAGTCCTCAGGAAGGACCTTCCCAGCCGTGGGAGCCTCCTGATTTTTATCTGCCACACTTGGGTGTGGGACCAGCCCTTCTCGCCGCCGTGCTGCCGCCGCCGCCACCCCTCGCGCCGCCGCCGCCCCTCCTACCAGTCTGGATGTAGCTGCTTTTTTAAATTCCGTAGTTGTAGGACTTCCATTCAGCTTGATTTCAGGCGGTTTTGAATGATGGTTCTGTAGTTTAGTTGTAACTTTGATGTGGTTGTGGGAGGACGCGATACCGCGTTTACCTACACCGCTATCTTGACTGGAAGTCCTCTCCAAGACATTCTTACGTTAACTTTTTTTTTTTTTTTTATCCTCACCCGAGGACATTTTTCCATTTTTTGTACAGATAGAGTGGGAGGGAGAGAGAGGAAGAGAGAGAGAGAGAGAGAAACATCGATGTGAAAGGGACACATCGAGTGGCTGCCACCCGCACGACCAACCAGGGCCGGGGACAAACTGCAACCAAGGTACATGTCTTTAGCGGGAACCGAACCCGGGTCTCTCCGGACCGCAGGCCAACGCTCTAACCGCTGAGCCAAACTGGCCAGGGCCTTACGTTAACTTTTTACAGAGTCATTATTCTAATAAAAAAATAGTAAGTTTCAGTCAATTTTTCCCATCACCTTTACTAGTGTAGGACATATAGCTCAAATGGATTCTCTTCCTCAGTATTTTTCCCTCCTCCGATGCACCTTAATGACTCCAGCCCCCTGCCAGGAAGGGCCCAGAGACTCCACTGCCTCCTCCAATTGGGGGACCTGCTCACTCTGTTTCTGAACTACTAAGTGACCCCACATGGGGGCCTCATTGGCCCAGGCCTGTGGTTGGCACCATGCAAGACACAGAGATGGGCATGGCCCTAGCAAGAATAGGTTTCCCTCTGAGACCTTCGGGCATGAGAGATGGGTGGGGGGGGGTAGGATGGTGCAGTGGGGTCAGGATCCCTCCTGAATACAAAGCCATCAAGAAGGCTGGCAAGCTTGGCTCAAATCTGTGAACCCACAGGTGGGCTTTGGGGCCTGCAAGGCCAGAGCAAAGACGCAGGATGCTCCAGAGGCCTGAGGAGGCTGGAGCTGAGACCACAACAGTGAGAGTTGTAACTGAGAGCCCCTTTAAATAGGAAGTGGCACAAAGATCATAAATATTTAGTGTGTAGTTAAATTTTGGATTGTGAAACAGGTTTGTTTTTTTTTAAGTAATGTTGTAATAGGGAAAATGTGAACATAAATAAAAGATGCTTGCTTCATTAATAGCTACTTCTAATTATATGATGGTGTTTAAATAATGATGTTTTTAATTCAAAAACAGTTATGGTATTATTTTATTCACCTAAGAAAAAAGATAGTATATTAAAGAAAAATTAATATACTGATAATCAACTCATGTTTCTTCGAAAGTTATATCAATGTCTAATCACTGTGTTATACAACTGAAGCTAATATAATATTGTATGTCAACTGTAATTGAAAAATAAATTTTTTTTAAAAAGTTAACCTATGTTTAAACAAATGCCTGGTTATATATAAACTCAATAAATTATTTGAGTTTAGGCATGGCCTAGCCACAAAAATATTGGAATTGATGGCCTAAACAGTGGAATTTTGCACCAAGCACTTGGATAGCCTTACATTATCACTTATTAAAAACAGTTAAGGAAAATGTATAATGAATTACTTGTGCTGTATTTCAGTTTCAGTTCTCTCTTATCTTTTTTAGTATGCCTTCAAGACAGTGTGTTGGCTTTCTGGAAACATGGAATGCAGGGTAAAAGCTTCAAGTCAGATGAGGTAAAGTTTCTCAGATTACCTCCAGTGATTTCCACTCAAGATTTTAAATATTAAAATGTTCATTTTATACATTTCTTTCTGAACCCACATTACTATGTTTAGTGCCTTTATTTTTTTTTAATTGATTTGAGAGAGAGAGCGAAACATTAATCTGCTGCCCCCTACAGGGGATCAAGCTCGAAACCTGGGCATGTGCCCTGACCAGGAATCTAACTGGCGACCTTTTGGTGCATGGGACAATGCCCACCCAACTAAGCCAAACTGGCTAAGGCTATGTATAGTCCCTTTAATGCTGTGAACTAGCAGAGCAAAATTGCCAGTATTATTCCTTCAAATGTTCAGTTTTGTATCATAAAATTCTCAGTGGCCACATTTCAGTCTGTTACTTTGTAATTTTTAAATATGGTTATTAAGCTTGCTAAGCATTTCTAAATTTAATAAGCCTTTTCCATAATCTAGAAGTGTATAGCTTCTTTTTTAATGTTATTTTTAAAATTCTAAGTTGATATGTATTTCTTCACAGGACTAAGAAAATTAACTCATTTAGTAAATATTTATTGAGTACCAACTACATACAAGATGCTATTATTATGGCACTGTGAGGCATGGGAAAGTATAATTATAAATAATTTCAAACTTTTAACATCTATGATATAGGCACTTTACAAACATTAGCTATTTAAGGTTTATAATTCAGTGGGGTTAGGTACTATTCATATTCCAGTTTTTACAGGCACAGAGTGGTTAAGTAACTTGCCTAGATTTACATAGCCTGAAGTTGAAGGGTCTCCAAAAATCACTTTAGCTGAGATAATCAGGATAAATTTCATGTAAGTGACAGGGAACTTGGGCTCCCACATTGAGAGATAAATCCTAATAGTTGAGACAGTACTAACAGAGACATTTTTCATTTGTGTGAGTACCTGTGTAATTCTTGTATACCATGGCCTCACAAATATGTGGACTTATTTTAAAGCTTAAAGTCTTTTATTTGAATGACCTATATAGTTTTATCCATACTCTTATTCAATATGTAATTGAGTATTTTCACCTCTTATATGAATGAGCAATTAGAATGCTTCTAAGAGAAAAATGACATAAATTTGCTGTCTTTGAATATGTCAGTTTATCTAGTTACTGATCCATGTCACTAAATGTCACCGGGTCCCTGCATTAATGAAGCCTATAGCCTTATTTACTGCCATAAGATTAATTGTTCTTAGATGCTACTTTCATTGTATCTATTTAGTTAGGAATCTATAGAAGATAACTGTTTTTCACCATATCAAGTACAAATTTTATTTCCTTTAATTTTTTTTTTTAATTTATTTTTGTTACAGATGTTTCTCCTTTCCCCCCCATTGACAGCCTCCTTCCTATCCCTTCCCCCTCCCCAGCATTGTCGTGTATGTCCATTGGTTATGCATACACGCATATAAGTTCTGTGGTTTATCTCTTTCCTTCCCTCATCCCCCTCTTCCGAGTTTTGTCAGTCTGTACCCTACTTCTATGTCTCTGGGTCTGTTTTGTTCATCAGCTTGTATTGTTTATTATATTCCACAAATAAGGGAGATCATATGATATTTGTCTTTCCCTGACTGGCTTATTTTGCTTAGCATAATACTCTTCAGGTTCCTTCCATGTCGTCTCGAAGGATGAGAGATCTTTCTTTCTTACAGCTGCATAGTATTCCGTTGTGTATATGTACCACAGCTTTTTTGTCCACTCATCTATTGATGAACACTTGGACTGTTTCCAGATCTTAGTAATTGTAAATAGTGCTGCTATGAACATAGGGGTACATATATTCTTTCTGATTGGTGTTTCAGGCTTCTTAGGGTATAGTTCTAGAAATGGGATCACTGGGTCAAATGGCAGTTCAGTTTTTAATTTTTTGAGGAAACACCATATTGTTTTCCATAGTGGCTGCACCAGTCTGCATTCCCACCAGCAGTGCACTAGAGTCCCCTTTTCTCCACACCGTCGCCAGCACTTGTTTGATGATTTGTTGATGGCGGCCATTCTGACAGGTGTGAGGTGATACCTCATAGTCCTTTATTTCCTATTTTTAACTCATCTTGCTGACCTTTCTTTCTGCTTATGTTCTCACACTTCAGTTTGGGCCTTGCTATAATATTAGTAAAGTAATATTTATCCATTTCAGTCCATAATGATTAGAACATTTCTGAACTTAATATCTGAAAATGAGCTCCATCTAATATAGCACCTAATTTATTTTCTGATTCAAGTTTAATTAATTCTGTCTTCCTAGCTAGACTACAAACTCATTGATAACAGACTATTTTTATACTTATTTTCTATCCGCATTGTTGTAGTTTGGGTTCCTCCAAAAGCTGACCTTAAGACAAGAACTCAAGTGCTGGTAGTTTATTTGGGAGTAGATCCCAAAAAACGAGTGATGGAGTGAGAAATGTAAAATAAAAAGGGGCAAAAAGCCAATAAAGAGTATAATAATAAACTGGTTCCCACTATGAGTAACCAGGGCTTAATCCCATACCGACCACTGAGGAACAGTGTAGAATGCACCTCAGAATTAACTTATTTGAAGGTGGGGAATGTGGTGCCTTTATAAACCAAATGCTATCCCTCTTGGTTAAGGGTTGCCCTTGGGGGTATAAACTCCCCACATTTTGATATAGTACCTGTGCTTGTTTGACTGCCTTCTACAGCTTTGGAGAAGACAGAGCAGAGGACCACAGGTATGTTGGTGTAAGACACTAGCCATGGGAAGTGTCCACTGGGGCTCTGCAGTCCAGCACACCTGTGTTCAAATCTTAGGTCTACGTTACATAACCTTAAGCAAGTTACTTAACCTCTTCAAGTTTTCGTTTTTTTCCCCCAGTAATATGGGAATTATAACACAAAAAGTTATTCTAGGGAAAGTGCCTGATTCATAACAGATATTTCAAAAATGTTGTTTTATTTCTACTACTAGTGTCAAAAAATACTTCTTGAAATTTATTTTATTTAAGGAATTGTCTATCAGAAATTATGATTGTTTAATAATTGCTCTATTTAAATGATTTTTAAATTATTTAAATAATATGTGAACCAAGGTATTTATTACTAACAGGTATTTTCTCTCATAGGTTACCCAGGAGATTTCAGATGAAACAAGAGTTTTCCGCTTATTAGGATCAGACAGGTAAATAATGTGGTTATTTTAATTATCAAAAGAGTTTGGTGGTTGTGTTCTTAATTACATAGTCAGACAAAACTCTTAGGATTTTTCAGCAACTTTATTGAAAGAGAGAATAGTATTTTAATTAGTTGATTAAGCTGTCTTTTGTCAGTGTGAGGATCTTCTTTTTTTTTTTTACTCACCCGAAGACATTTTTTGATATTTTGTTCAGATAGAGTGGGAGGGGGGAGAGAGAGAGAGAGAGAGAGAGAGAGAGAGAGAGAGAAACATCGATGTGAAAGGGACACATCGAGTAGTTGCCACCCGCACGACCCAACCAGGGCCTGGGACAAACTGCAACTGAGGTACATGCCCTTAGCGGGAACCGAACCCGGGTCTCTCAGGACCATAGGCCAACGCTCTAACCACTGAGCCAAACCGGCCAGGGCTGTGTGAGGATCTTGATTCTAGAGAAAGTTATACTCAACCAAGACCAAATGTGTTAATACAGGTATTTAGCCCTGGCCGGTTTGGCTCAGCGATAGAGCATCGGCCCATGGACTAGTGAGTTGCAGGTTCAATTCCGGCCAAGGGCCTATACCTCAGTTGTGGTTCATCCCTGGCTCTGGTCGGGGTCCTGCGGGAGGCAACCAGTTGATGTGTCCCTCTCACATTAATGTTTCTCTCTCTCTCTCCCTCCCACTGTATCTGAACGTAAGTGGAAAAATATCCTCGGGTGAGGATTAAAAAAAAAAAATACAGGTGTTTATGTTCCTAGTACCATGACATATTTCAGGCTCCTTTGTTTTCATCATTTCTTCCTGTTACCTTCTATTAACTATTACTATGTAAATCCAACAGAATATGTACCCCCTGTCACTTGCTTTTGTATCAGAAACTATTCGACTCAGTTTCTGAAGTCAGTCTAAATTAGGAATTATGTGGTCTCTGTGATCAAAATGAAAGACGAATTCCAAAACTTTGCCATCTCATGAAAAAATTTAGTAGTTTTTGTTCCCCTAAGTCTATATTATCTACTTCTACAACTAATAAAACACCCATTCCTTTCTATTTTCTCACCAAAAATTGTTACTACAGCGAAATTGAATAGTAGTATGCATTAGTCCTAAGACAAAGATTGAGAACTTCTGGTCTTCAAGTGTAGTGTAGTCACAAAATAATTGCTTAAATATTAGACACTTAAGGGGGAAAAGGTATGACCCCATAAAAATTTTTAGGAGACTTCTGTAAGGAGAAAAAAGATTTTTTTGAAAAATGGTAACCAGTGAGTAGAAAAGATAAACCTACAGAACATGGCAGCTTAGTAATTAGTTCTACAAAAACCAAAGAAAGACTGTGAGGACCACCTGGTTAAAGACTGAAATGAGAGGTCCTTCGCTTCTCCAAGAAGGGCTGACTAAAGAATTGTGGATCATCCAATGATCCTGGCGCAAATAGCATTTTAACAAGACATAGTAAGAGAATTCTGCTTAAGAGAAGGTAGTCATCATAAGCCATTTCTCTTAGTTACTTGTTTCCTTCCTTCCCTCTTTCAGCTGTTTTGTCTTTCTCCATTCTGTCATAATTTGCCCTAAAAAGCTATTTTTTTTTTTTAGATCATTGCCTTGTCCTCATTATCTTCCTTGGGCATCTTTTTGATCTTAAGATATATATTCTTGTATTTTCTCAAATTTTTAAAGTGGTTTTTAAAATTGTATTGTTTAAATATAGATATTTGTGTCTAGAAAAAAAGCTCTAAGTATGTCGAAATATTAAGGTTAACTGGGTAGTTGGATTATAGATAATTTTATTTTCCCCTTCTACTTTTCTGTAATACATAAAATAAGGTATATATTTATTTTTTATTGTTTTCATTACAAAATAATAATATGCTAGTTGTAAAAAACTCATACATTAGAAAAATAAGAAGTGTTTATGCAGTTTTCCCTCCAAGACTTTTTTCTCTGCATGGGTGCATCATCATCATCATCATCATCATCATTATTATTATTTAATCCTCACCTGAGGATATTTTTTCATTGATTTTCAGATAGAGTGGGAGGGAGGGAGGGAGGGAGGAGGGAGGGAGGGAGGGAGGGAGGGAGGGAGGGAGGGAGGAAGAAACATTGATATGGGAGGGACACATTGATTGGTTGCCTCCCACACAACCCTGACCAGGGCTGGGGATCAAACCGCAACTGTGGTACATGCCCTTTACTGGGAATCAAACCCAAGACTCTTCCGTGTGTGGGCTGATGGTCTAACCACTGAGCACCACCTGCCAGGGCAACTTATTTTTTTCAAATACCTTGAAGAACAGTTTGAATAGATGTCTCTTAGAACCCTGTTTTATTCTGTCAGTCCTTCTTCCACCCTCTTCTTAGTGTATTTTCTAAAGCTATTTAATACCTTTCATTGGCATATGAATCAGCTAATTTGTTTTTAGTTGGAATAAGAGAATGAGACTGTCCTGAAATGTTTTCAATATTTTATACTCATAAATTCATCAATTCTTAATCAGTTTTGCTTTTAAGTTATAAAATGTAAAGCTGAACTTAACTGTACATCTATGATCTTTATGCAATCTTATGAGAATGTAAACAATGATATTCTTTCCTGGTTTGATGTTAGTATTTGAAGCATGGAATTTCTTTCTTTACTCTTACACAAACCTTTTGTTTTGGTTTAATTGCAGGGTTGTCGTCTTGGAAAGTAGGCCAACAGAAAATCCTACTGCACACAGCAATCTTTACATCTTGGCTGGACATGAAAATAGTTACTAAGCAACAAAAACTGATCTCAAATGACAGGAAAATGAATATATTCCACTGAAAGCAAAAATATCTTGAGGAAATTCAGTACAAACTGCACTATGATTTGCTTTAACTGTTATGGGTTATATCTCAAATGATCTGTACTTTAAGGTAGAATTCAATACTTTCTGTAGCTGGAAACAGCTGTTTTATCTCTTGCCACTGTGTGGTGGTTATATCAAGTTTGCTTAATAAAAGCTATGAGATAAATAGTCCTATAGTTCCAGGAAGCCCAGTCTTTTTTTTAAAAAATAACGTTTGTAACAAGGGTGCCATGGTATTTTTAGATAACAACTCATGTGATTTATCTTCAAAATGATAAATTTAGTGACAATTTACTCATTTTATACCATGTTTTATTCCTTCTTAATGAACATAATTTTATAAACAAATTATCAAATAAGCCTTTCACTTTTACATTGGCCATTCTGTATGTTTTTGTAAAATAGAATATTTAATCTTTATTTATTAATCTCTTGCTGGAGTGGTGTAATGTATCTAACTTTTAGCAAAGGAGGGTTGCAGAGCAGCTTAAATTTTTTATAATGTATAAAAATTTTGTTTACCTATTAAGAGTAGTAAGAGGGGTTAAAGATAGTGTGTTTGGAGGTTTCATACATCCATGCAATTTTTTTTAACAGAAGTATTTTATGAAGCAATATTATCCAGAATTGCCATTCAAAGAAGTTTTGTGTTTTCAACTACAAATAGCTATAAGGGATCGTATAGAAGATCTTGATGATGGTTGAAATATTGTTAGAAGAGGTGTGTATGTAGATGTGACTACCATGTGTATGTATTCTTGACAAGCAGTATAATATACCTGTGATTTTTTTAAAATTAGGAATAATGCATAAGAAATTAATCTTCATATATATTATCATTCCCTAATGTGTGTGTGGGGGGGGGAGTATTTAACTGTCCATGATATATAATTTACATATACTATACCAGAGGGGAAACTGTAAAGCAACTACACATGTAATCTTGGGTTTTTCACATATGTAGGCATTCATTTTGAGTAGGTTTAAGAAAAAACTTTTTAAGTGAAATTGAATTCCTAATGGAATAGTACAAATAAGTATTATAAAAACCAATATTCTAAAAATAGGAAATAATGCCATTTTTGAGTTTACTTCTCTTTGGTTATTATTAGTATTTGAAATTAAAGTGTTACATGGGTACCTGGTATCTTAATCCATTTATTGAAGGCAGTTAGCATTGAGATGATGAACAAGGAGTCAGCAGTAGTAAACTGTAGCTTTATTTTGAACGATTGAGAGGAAAACAGTAGAACTATCTCATTTGGTCTTTAGCAATTCTGTAAAATAGATATTATTATCTCTATTTTTCAGATGAGGAAATACAAGGTTAGCAAGGTTAATAGACCCAATTCACACAGCATTTTAGTGGTTGAGCCCGACCATGAGTCTTGTGACTCTGTTCTTTTCACTATGCAATATGCAAACAATAAAATGTTACGCAAATAAAGTATTGTCCTTTAAAAATGCATGTGTGATTTCAGTAAATGTGTGTGGCTATTTATTTGGGGTATGTTAAATGGGGCCTCTGGACTGAAGGACACAGGATAGATATAATAGATGGGCAGGGGACCATATTCAAAACAGGAAATATTTACATACTGGATACAAAGACCAGTAACCTTCTTTTCACTGAATCCTGGCAGCCAGATATTCCCATCCTAACAATATTGGAAGATTCTTCTCTGTGCGATCCGGCCACTGCAAGTGGAAAGACCTACATAGATCCTGGTATCAGAGGTTTCCCGGCTAAACTACGCAGCTAGATAATTCTACAGTGAACATCACAGTTGACAAGCCCTCACCACCCCATGCATCCAGAGCTTACTGTTAGTCTTTTAGTCCTATGCTATTAATGATTAAACAGCCTTGGCTGGTTTGGTTCAGTGAGTAGAACATCAGCCTGCAGACCAAAGGAATGAGTCTAACCTCAGTCTCACCATTGTTATTCATTGTACTGGAGGTTCAAGTCAGTTCAAGAAAACTAAGAAAAAAGATTGAAGATTTGGAAAGAAATAAAAATACCATTATTTGCAAATAAACTATTAGAAAGTATAAGTGGATTTGGAAAAGCAGCTGGATGCACAGTCAACATAAAAATTATAAATACATATAACTAATAAGAAAATGTAAATATACCATTTACAATATAGAAAACCATCAACTACCTAAGAAAGTGAAATGCAAAATCTGTACATTTAAACTACAAGACATCACTAAAAGAAACTAAAGAAGACTTAATGTCAAATTATGCCATGTCAATTAGTTTGAAGATTTAGTATTATAAAGATGTCAGTTGATTTAAAGATTCAGTGTGATCCCAGCAGATATTTTATGGAAATTGGTAACTTGATTCTAAAATCATATAAAATGTTCAGGGCCAGGAATAGCAAGGCAACTTTAAGAGAAAACTTGGGAGTCTTAGGCCACCAGATTTCAAGAGTTACGATAAAACTGCTACAGCGCTTAAGATAGTGTGCCATTAACACAAATACAATCCAGAGTCCTGAAACAGACCCACATTCTTATATATGACATACACTGCACTAGATGAAGGAAAAGAATGTCTTCAATACATTTTATTGAAAATAATAGAAAATCAAATGAATCTTACCTACTACCTCACACAAATATAAATACCCAATAGATTGTAAATCTAAAATATATAAAACTATAAAGCTTTTAAAAAGAACATCTTCATGAAGTTGGTGTAAGCAAAGATTTCCTAAATAGAAAATTAAGCCTTTGATGATAAAAGAAAAGGTTGGGCCCTGGCCGGTTTGGCTCAGCGGTTAGAGCGTTGGCCTGCGGTACAGAGAGACCCGGGTTTGGTTCCTGCTAAGGGCACGTACCTCGGTTGCAGTTTGTCCCCGGCCCTGGTTGGTCGTGTGGGTGGCAACCACTCGATGTGTCCCTTCACATCGATGTTTCTCTCTCTCCCTCCCGCTCTGTCTGAACAAAAAATGCAAAAATGTCCTCAGGTGAGGATAAAAAAAAAAAAAAAGAAAAGGTTGGTAAGATGGACTTAATTGAAATTAACATGCTCTGTTCATTTAAGGACACCTTTACAAGAATGAGAAAATAAGCTGCAGAATGGAAGTCTTGCATTGCATATATCCGCAAAAGAGTTACCCAGAAGATAAAGAGAACTTAGGGAAAAGGAAAACAACCCAATAGAAAAATGGCCACATTTTGAACAGGCACTCCACAGAAGGTAACTAACATTCGAGTAGTCAATAAATATGATTTCATCTTTCTTGGTTATCTTAGAAATTCAAATTCAACAATGCAATACTTTATACACCTACCAAAATGGCTAAAATGAAATCAGGACAAACCTGTGAGACTAAAGAAACCAGTGTTTGCACATTGCTCGTAGAAATAGAAAATAGTTCAACACTTTGAAAGATAGTCTGGCAGTTTTGGTGAGTGTTTTTATTCCTCACCCCCCAGGTATGTTTTTACTAATTTTCAGAGGAAGGGAGAGAGAGAGACACCGGTTGCCTCCAGTACAACCGGAAAATCAAACCTACAACCTATGTATATGCCATGACTGGGAATCAAACCCGCAACCTTTTGGTGTACAGGATGATGTGACCAACTGAGCAACCCGGCCAGGGCTGATTCACATTACACTAAAAGCTAGATCTTGTCTTCCCAACTTGAAAGAATGCAGTGAGTGTGCCTGTGCACTCACATTAGATTTACACACATGCAATCTGCTTTTATCAAGGTCGGTATACTTGATATTAAAAGAGGAATGGAACCAAACTGCAGACAATTTGAAGAAAAATTTTAAATTGTTGGCTTTTCCATATATAACTCCAAAATGCAAATAATGTAAAAGAATACCACACTTTGTACTTGCTTGTATTAAGAATTGTAAAACTGTATTCTAATCATTTTTCTGTCTTCCTCTCTGGAATTAATGCCTGAGGAAAGGACTGTGTTTGTTTAAATTGGTGTCTACAGTATGTGATAGAAGTCATTCCTCAATGAATAATTTACACTACTTTCATGATCATTGAGTACAAACAGGGAGAAAGTATCTTTTTCCTGTGAATTTACACCTGACTTGCAGGATTTTTTAGACCAATGTCCCAATAGGTACTGTATAAAGCACCTATTCTTTTCATTTCTGAACATTATTTGGACTGAACTGGGAAATGGATACCAGGGAGTGAATAGCACACTACAGGCCTCTCCTAGTGCCAGAACTGGCTTTTTTTTTTTTTTTTAAATCCTTATCCGAGCATACTTTTTCCCCATTTATCTTCAGATAGAGTGGGAGGGAGCGAGAGAGGTACGTGCCCCTGACTGGAATTGAACCTGAGACTGGTCCCCAGGCTGCCGCTCTAACTGCTGAGCCAAACCAGCCAGGGCAGAACTGGCATTTTTATTGAATAAATTTTAATTAGGCACCTACTATGTACAGACTATTTTTAGACTATTCCTGAAACAAATGAAGCTATGGTACTCATGGCAGATCAAAGATACAAGTAAATCAGATTATAAAACAAAAGACTGGAGTCTAGAAAGGAATAACACTTCAGTTAGCAGTGGGAGTCTAAGTCTGAACCTTTCACATCAGGAGAGAATTTCAAGATACTTAAACAATCCACAAAATCTTATCTGCCATTTATTTTGCAATGTTTTTAGTGAGTCCCCTCTTACAGCAGTCGTGCACATTATGTTGTGTGTGTGTTACTAGTACTGAAAAAGTGGACAGGACCAAGTGCTTGCCTGGGTGTGGGACTTATATTGCTGATGAGAGGGCAAAATGGTGCAGCCGTTTTGAAAAACCGTATAGCAGTCCCTTAGAAAGTCCAACATACATGTGCCACACAATCAAGCCATTTCAATTCTGGGTATTTCCCCAGGAGAAGTGAGCACATAACGCCCACAGGAAAACTGATTCGCAGCCAGGGGCAGGGATGGGAGGAAGGCAACATGAGGAGTGCTTGTGGTGATAGAACAGTTTCTCTGCTTGACTTTATCAGTGTGGATATCCGGTTGTGATATCGTACCATAGATATGCAAGGTGTTATTGGGGAAAGTGGATAAAGACTTTGAGATTCTCTGTGATGTTTCTTAAACTGCACGTGAATCTACAATTACCTGAAAATAAAAAGGTTAAAAAAAAAAACAAACAATACAGGAAGTAATTTTCCTGGTTTCACCCAGCCAACAAAGGGTAGGATCCAAATTTGAACCCAAGCCTGCTTCGCCCTACATCATACACTGTCTCCTATCTTGGAGATTGTCCTGTGGGTGGGGGCACCATGTGGTGGGAAGCACTGGCTTCCAGAACAGAACCCTGGAGTATTGCTTAGGACTCTGAGTGACTGAGAAGATGATAATTCTTGATTTGTAGACCTTAAATGAATCTGTACATTTACATATGTTTTCAGTAAAGTATGGAATACATTTTAATAATAAATGAAATTTCCATCTGAACAGAAATGACCCTACTGAGATTATTACTATTGTGATGATAACAACAAGGAAAGCTAATGTGGATAGAGCGCTCACTGAATCCTCACAACTTTAAGAATTAATTCATCTCTATGTAACAGATGAAGCCTAAGGAGGCTGGGTAACTGGCTCTGGTTCTTGCAGAGGGTTCACAGCAGAGCTGGACCTGATCCTGGGTAGTCTAGCTCTAGAGTTCATGCTCTTACTGGGAAAATCAGGTCCAATGATAGTGTAGAAAAATATGTTGATGTTTAAGGTGAAAGATTTCTTATTGTTTGGGGGCAATGTTTGAATATTTTTTTTACAAGGACCTACTCATGGGTTTGCTTTAGTTGCCTCAGTAATATCTCAGCACTAATATTTGACAATGAGCCATGCCTGTGAAAGCTATTTATAATAATAGGATATCTGCATGGGGGTATAACTATAATCTTCATTCAATCCTTGGCATGCGTGCAGATTAAAGATGATCTTATGAAACTATTTAGATCTTTTGGATCGATAGACAGCTAAAAATTCAGTGGTTGACATGGGAAATGTATTTAGGGTTGCCAGGGGTTTCTGTTTGTAAGAAGAGTTATTAAGATACCAAGGAATACACATCACAACGTTTCTATAAGGGAAGTAAAAGTTGAGAGGACTTACCTCCATTCAAGAAATGGATACATTTCTAAAACAATCTGCATGAAAAGAAACCTCATTAAAGCAAAAAAATATGTTTAAAGTGCAAAATAATTCATACTTCTTGTCCTCTCCACCCTTCCTTCCTCACCTTGTCATAAACACAAATATTTCTATTTTGATATTAGGTTTTCTTAAGGTGGGTCTTCCTTCCTTCCTTCCTTCCTTCCTTCCTTCCTTCCTTCCTTCCTTCCTTCCTTCCTTCCTTCCTTCCTTCCTTCCTTCCTTCCTTCCTTCCTTCCTTCCTTCCTTCCTTCCTCAC